AGATCTTTATCCTAGATACGCATGCTGGCTTTAGTTCTGTGGGTTTTCTCCCTGAATTCCTTCCTAGCCCACCATGCTCACACGTACATTTTCCCCTGCATTCAATAAGCTTGCCTATTGCCTGTTCTTGGTACATGTGGGTATAGTATCTCATTCTCATAAGCTGAAGAGCTAGATGATGAGGGCACAGGCTCCCCAGCTACAGAAACCTGGCTTCAAATGCCACATCTGTGTCTCCCACAAGCCACTTAGTGTCTCCAGACTGTATTCACATGTATGAAATGGAGACAATCTAGTATAACCACTTCGTAAGGTTGTTGTGACAATGAAAATGTATATCAGCTGAGGATAGAGCTCAGTGGTAGAGCACTTACTTGCCTACTATGTGAAAGACATTAGGTTTAAACTTCAATATCATACAAACAAACAAAAACGTGTTTATGAATCTTGGCACTGCCAACCCCTGTCTTCAGTCAACGCCTGGGTCTGTCATTACTTCTCCTCACTCAGTATCTATTGGACAGCAGGGAGAGCTTCAGGAGGGGATGCGGACCTCAGGGTCCTCTGCCTGATGGCTCTGCACCCATGACTCAGGGTGGTTTTAGGGTTTGAGGAGCAAGATCCCCCTGCGTTGTAGCCCCTCCTCTGCTCCTACCACTTCCTCTCTGTGGCCGAGGGCACCTGGACAGGGCCCAGGGCGAGGCTCTGGATACTTTAGAAGCGCACTATCAATGAATCTCACAGCTGCAAGAGGGTGAGGTGAGAGGCTAGCGGCAGGAAAGCTTTGTCTCTACCGTATTTCTCCTCATAGGAGGTTCCAGGACAAGGCTCAGTAGGAGGACTTCCGTAATCTGAAGCAATCCAGAGGAAATTTCTTTTTGTAGGATTGCATCAAACTGAAGATTTAGAGATCACACCAGATGTTAGGGAAAAGACAAGAATGAGCCAGGCAAACTGAGTATGCAGTTTAGTGCAGGAGCATGTGCTTAGTGTATAGAAGGCGTTAGGTTCAAAGCCAGGCAATACTGATACACTCTTGTAATCCCAGCACTCTGCAGGAGGATCTCAAGCTCAAGCCCAGCCTGAGCAATTTAGTAAGATCCTGCCTCAAAATGGAAAAATAAAAAGGGAGCTGAGAACTCAAGGATACAGCTCAGTATTTAGGGCCTCAGTTCAATCCCCTGTATGGGGAGATAAGGGGAAACTGAGCTCAGAAAGAGATCAACACCACCCCATGTGAAGAACAGACTGGCTTACACAGGCAGAGAATTGCGTTTTGTTTTGTTTCTTTTTTTTCTTTTTTTTTTTTTTTTTTTTTTTTTTTTTTTTTTTTGAGGTACCAGGGATTGAACTCACAACCTCATAGTTGCCAGGCAGGCACTTATGCTGCTGAGCTAAATCCCAACTCACTGTGTAGCCCAGGATTACTCCAAACTCTCAGTGATCCTCCTGCCTCAGTCTCCTAAATGCTGGGGTTATAGGTGTGTGCTGCTTCACTTCGGCCTAGCCCTTGGGTCCAAATTCTTGCTATCACAAGTGTAGGCTGACTACCAGTCAATTTAGGCATCACCTGGGAGCTCATGAAGATGTGACTCTCAGGCCTCACCTCAGATTTCCTGAAGAGGGATCTGCGTTTTGTTTTGTTTTGTTTTGTTTTGCGTTGTTGGGAATCCACAAGGCCTTGTGTGGACTGGGCAAATGCTGTCTTACTGTGCTACATCCCAGGCCCCTAGATCTACATTTTCTCAGGATCATCAAGTTACCTTGACCAAGATGAGGTTAGAGGCCTCTCATGAGTTGGGAACTAGCACTGGACTTCTTGTGGAGAGCAGAATTGGTAGCTTTCTCCAGTCAGCCTTGGGAGAGAGTTACAGGGAGGTCTGCAGTGAGAGACAAAGGCAAGTGAGGCACAGAGATTCTCCCAAGTGAGGGCCTGGCCGCTGTGGGAGTGCACAGCTCCTGACCTTTGCTTGGCTCTGGTTCCTGGCACCAGCAGGCCCTGAGATGTTAAGTTCCTGGCAGATGAGGCTCCTAGGCAACAGTTTGAGTAATCCTGTGATTACTCAGCTCCTCCTCCCCAAGCGGGGTTCCCAGCACCTGCGTTCACCCAGACTGCAGGGTGAGTCTGAAGGGAAGGGATCTAAGGTGTTTCTCAGCTCCTCTCCAGTCCCCACCCCCACTTCTCCAGCAGGCCCCTCACCTTTCTTCTCAGCCCCCCTTCCCCAAGGCACACACTCACAGGCAGTGGTTCTCTTTGAGGTTTGGGGTGAATGACATTGAAGGGGGTGCAGGTGGTAGGGAAGGAGGGAGCAGGAGGACAAGTAGCCTGAGAGTGCTGGGGGTAGGGGAAAAGGCCAAGACACAGGCATGGGTCGTCCTGTTTCTGTGTCCTCTCCACTTCTAGGTCTGCACATTTTCTCCCATCCCAGCTCTCAGTCTCTCTAGCTCAGAGGCTGAGCAGTGATGGCTAAATTTTAAGGCCTTTTTTTGTGTGTGTGTGTGTGTGTGTGTTTTCGAGACAGGGTCTCGCTGTGCAGCACAAGCTGGCCTCAAACTCATGTTAGTCCTCCACCCTCAGCCTCCCAAGTGCTGGAACTACAGACATGCACCAACTTTTAGAGATTATAAGGTTATAAACAGCCCGCTGTGGCTGCTATAGGCCACATGCCTATAGGTTCACCACCGCAGGGCTACAGGGTCTACTCTCAGAATCACTGACTCTGCGTGCCTACCTCACTCTGTGTGCCTGCCTAGAACCATGGTTGGGGACAGTGGAAGAGGAGTTGGCCAGGTGGCTGGGATCTGAGGCTCCAGTATCCCTGAAAGACAGGTATTTGTGCAGGGGTCCTAGGTAGGCTAGAGTCATGGCGATACTGTGGTTCGGTTCCTAGGGCCAGGACCAGCAGTGGGCCAGGCATAGGGCGGGAGCTGTGTCTGGGGTCACCCGTGTGGTCAATGCACACACGCACGCGGATGTGGCTCTTGGAGAAGGGAAGAGGCAGGGAGGCCTGTGGTTGACTGCTGGGCCAGAGCCCGGGTTCCCATTGTGGCTTGGCCTAATCTCTCTCCTGCTTGCTTTTTTGGGTGACCCATGTTGGTTTCTCCCCCTCTCTGGTCTTAGGGCCACTAAAGAGAAAGATACCACAGTATAGGGGGGTGGGTGCCTGGCAAGAGCAGAATCCTTGGGGCCCATGTGCTCGTCCCAGCCTACTATGCCCACAGACTCCTCTGCTATGCCTCGGTCAGCAGAAACTGGTACACGTAGTACCCTTCCCGGCACGTTGATGTCACTTAACCACTCTGTACTACCTGCAGTCACCCCTCAAGCAGGCAATATTATTTTTACCGCCACCTCATTGCCAAGGGAACGAGGCCTGGAAAGAACGTAAGTGACTAGAAGTGCAAGGGCCCCTACACTTTGCACCCCTCTTCCAGGTATCCAATCTCTTCGACACTTCCTTAGAAAGAATGTGAAAAGCTTGCTTGGCATCTTTTCCTGAGGTGACCACAGTTTACTGGGTGGGTGTTGGACAGCAACAGTGGCTGTGCATGGGGGAAGGAAGAGAGTTCCAATGGGAGGATTTCAGACATGCATGTGCCCTGGCCCCAAAAGGAGATAGCTCTTTACTCTGACTCAGCTCAAGACTGGCCAGAGAGGATGATGGTTTGAAGATGGTGGAAACAAGATGTGGGAGCAGTAGGCAAGCCATGGCCTCCCTCTCCACCTTGCTTATGTCAGCAGGGGTCTGTCCTGGGGCTGTAGGGGAGCTCCCAGGACTATGGATTTGCTCTTCATCTCCTCTGCCCTTTTGGCAGGAGACCTGTCATAAATGAGAAGCAGCTTTGTCCCTTGGCCATTTTTTTGGCCTGCTCTATCCCAGCCTACCCACTCCAAGGGGAAGTCAGCAGGTCAATAGTGGTGGAAAAGAGACCCAAATATCTTTGTAAGTGCTGAAAACATCTGCAGTAGCCAACCCCAAGCTGTGCCTGGCTGCCTTTAAAGGACAGGCTGGAAGAAGTCCTACTGGTCACTTGAGACTCAGCAAAGAGCCATAGACATTGAAAGGGCCATGTGCACAGCACTGGGGACAGTTCAGGGGAACAATGCAGCAGACCCAGCACTCACATAAGAGAGCTGTGTGATCTGACCCTCCCTTAGGGGTGCCTAGTCTTCCATCTCTCAAGTGACCTGGTGAAAGAGATCATCTCCAGCCTCAGCCAGGTTGGTAGTCATGGTCTCTGCTCAAACAGTTGGACACAGATGCCCTCATACATTCTCTCACACACTGACGCATACAATATACAGTCAGCCCCTCTCCATGCTGGGGCTAAGGACCTCGGAACTCTGATTCTCTCCCTGGGCTCTAGGGCACCCAGAACAGCTAGTTAGTTGTTCCCTAGTCTCCTGGGTTCCATGGCCAGCTTCTTCCCAGCTCTCTGAGCCCACTCTGTGCCTATCACCTCTTGGCTCTCAGTCTCTGCTGCCCTTGGTTGAGCCTTCACTGTCTGGCTGAGGATGGCTAGAATCTCTGCCTGGCCTCCTGGGGTCTCCTGCCTGGTGCACCACATCTTCCTGCCATGCCCCATACTCTGCCCATGGGAGTGGAGACCTAGAGAGTGAGGGAGGCACAAAGGAAGCCCCAAGGCGGGAAGCAGGTGTAAAGCAGTGGGTACCCAGTGCAGGAGGGGGGCAACGGGAGCTGTTCAACTTGAAGGGCTGAGCAGGTGGCCTCTCTGCAGCTGTTCTTTTTGACTCGGTAAAGCTGGTGCAACACCAGGCTGCCCCCTCATCTATGAAACAAAAGTAACTCCTTGGAGCCTTTGCTGAGAAGGACTTGCCACTCCACTTCCTCTTCTATTTTACAGAGGGGGAGACAGCAAGATGGAGCTGGCTGGAGAAGTTGGAGACACATGCACTGTCTTGTATCTGCAGCCAGATACTTGGTGGTAGAATGTGGAAAAGCCTCCTGGGCTGACTTATTTCTCTTTGTTACTTCCAGCACAAATCGAAGTGATTCCTTGCAAAATCTGTGGAGACAAGTCATCTGGGATCCACTACGGGGTTATCACCTGTGAGGGGTGCAAGGTGAGTTGCAGGAATACATATGTGCAAATGCGCACACGTGTGTGCACACACACACGCCATCTCTTCAGATTGGAGGACAAGGGGCCAGTGAGCTCCAGACAGCAAGAGAGCTTTTCAGATGGCGAGAGTCCCTTGTCTTAAACTGGGGAAGTGATTGCAGGACAAACTACAATGACCCAAGAAATGGAGGCCAGAAAACGGAGGGTGGGCTGGAGGATGTGGAAAAGCTGAGGCTGGCCCTTGCAGACAGAGCCAGACCTGGCCTGGCCGGTAGAAGCTATCTCAGTCCCCGCAATCCCTGGGCCACCACAGGGTTTCTTCCGCCGGAGCCAGCAGTGTCATGTTGTCTACTCCTGCACTCGGCAGCAGAACTGCCCCATTGACCGCACCAGCCGCAACCGATGCCAGCACTGCCGCCTGCAAAAATGCCTGGCGTTGGGCATGTCCCGAGATGGTGAGGATAAGCGGAATTCCCTGCTGTCTCCTCAGCCTAAATCCTGCTGTGCCAGACAAGGGCTGCCCTGCTAAAATGTCCTTCCAAAGGCCTCTCCCCATTCCTTGTTTTGCCAGCCATTTCTTTTCTTTGAGGGTCACTATCGAGTCCTGAGGCTCTACCCCAACAAGCCTTTTCCCCAGGACCCCCAACCCTCTCACTGCTTCTTCCTTGGGATGAATTCTCCCACCGCCCAGCCTCTGACCCAGCTCCCGGCAAGTTCCATGGCTTTCCATCCCGTTTCATCTCCCTGCTTCAGCTCCCTCCCTAGTCCCCACTCCCATCCTAAGACCCAGCTGTGGTCCGGAGAGGGACCAGATTGCCTGAGAGAACTACCCAGCAGGCAGGGAAGTGTGGGGGCTGTGTTCCTCATGCCTTATTCACCCTCCTCACCCACCCTTCCTCATTGTCGGTCCCCCCACAGAATGAGCTGGGGTGGGAGGAGGTAATGGGGAGCCAGAAGGAGCCTGTCAGCACTTTTCAGTGCTCAAAATAACAAAGCGAAAGGAAACATGCAGGGGTACAAGGGACAGGCGGGGTGAGGGGCTGTGCCCCCACACCTGGGAGGGGGGTAGGGGGAGGAAAGGCAGGAAAGAGAGAGCAGAAGAGGATGTTCAGATGCAAGCCGCGGAGCCTGGGTTGGGCTGTGGTGAGTATCTAGGTCACCGGGAGCCTGCAGGCCTGACCACAGGGAGACCTGTGTTCTCAGCCCTTCTCTTCCTCCGGCCCTCCCAGACAGGCGTGTTGACCCCAATACAGCCCGAGGCCCCCTGACTGATGCCCCCAAACCTCAGTCTTGGGAGGCCAGAAACCCCAGCCCAGCCATGGCTGGAATTGTGCCACTATTCAAGGCTGGTTAGGAACTTAGATCATACTCAGGAGACAGAAACAGCAGGCCTGACACATACTGAAGGGAAAAAGGTGACAGGTGGTTGGAGTCTTGGGCCTAAATTCCCAAAAGTTGGCTGGGGGTGGGAAGTGTCCTGGGGCAAAGATAGAGAATCCGGGCTCGGTACTGGAGCAGCAGGTTCATCCTGTGCTGAGGCGTGTTTCTGCTAACCTTGCCCTGAACCCTGCTCTGCCTCCCAAACTCCTTCAGCTGTCAAGTTTGGCCGCATGTCCAAGAAACAGAGGGACAGCCTGCATGCAGAGGTGCAGAAGCAACTACAGCAGCAGCAGCAGCTGCAACGGGAACAAGTGGTGAAGACCCCTCCAGCAGGGGGCCATGGAGCAGACACCCTCACCTGTACCTTGGGGCTCCCTGATGGGCAGCTGCCCCTGGGTTCCTCACCTGACCTGCCTGAGGCCTCTGCCTGTCCCCCTGGCCTCCTGAGAGCCTCGGGCTCTGGGCTGTCGTATGCTCACACCTCGGCCAAAACAGAGCTCAACGGGGTCCCCTATCACCTTGAGTACAGCCCTGAGCGGGGCAAGGCTGAGAGCGCAGAGGGTGCCTGTGGCACAGGCAGCCAGCTTACTCCTGGCAGATGTGGACTTCATTTTGAGGGATCCAGGCATCCTGGGCTCGGGGAACCAAGACAGGGCCTGGACAACTACTGCAGCCCCAGTTTCTACAGCACCCCAGAAACATCATATGCCTCCCTGACAGAGATTGGTGAGCAGCTGGGGAGGCCAAGGGGTGGTGAAGATGAGGGAGGGGTTCCCACTAGCTCCCCATGTTGACTAAACACGATCCCCAAGAGTTGTAGAGATCCAGACAAGGTGCTGTTGAAGGGGGCAAAATAAGGAGGCAGGCAGCGGGGTATCCTTGTAAGGACCAGGGAAGGAGCTGCCTGAGACCAAGCAGTGCTCCTCCTCTGGCCCCAGAGCACCTAGTACAGAATGTCTGCAAGTCCTACCGAGAGACGTGTCAGCTGCGGCTAGAGGACCTGCTACGGCAGCGCACCAACCTCTTCTCCCGGGAGGAGGTGACCAGCTACCAGAGGAAGGTAAACCAGGAGCATGTGCAACAGGGAGGACCCTCCACCACTGGGGGATCAGAGCAAGTTGTCTGCAGGGAGCTGTGTGCAGGGAGAGGGGCAGGGCGTATCCAGTGGATACTGACTCCCAAAAGTGTGTGTGCCTCTGTTAAGTATGCTTTGGTGTCTGTGTGTATGTCTACAGCCTAACAGATGGGTGAAAACTTTCCCTTAGGCCTTGCCTATTAAGCTTTTTCCTGGCCTCCAACCTGTCTTGGCTTACTCTTTTCCTTCTCTATCAGTTCCAACAATGATCAGAATCCCAGAGAAAACACCTTTTCTCTACCATGCATTTATTTATTACTCTTTTAAGAATCAAACTGTAAAGGTGGCATTTATGCCTGTTTTAAAAAACACTGGTGGAGAGGTGATTGGATCAAACCCAGGGCATCATGCATGTGAGGCAGATACTCTACCATTGAGTTATATTCCCCAGCTCTTATTCTTTTTTTTTTTTTTTTCGTCCAGTACTGGGAATTGAACCCAGGACCTTCCCAGTAAGCAAAATCTCCAGCCCTTTTATTTTTAACTATTTATTTTGAGATAGGATTTTGCTAAGTTGCTAAATTGCTCAGACTGGCCTCAAACTTGCAAACCTCCATTACAGGAGTGCATCACCACACCTGGCTCTTTGTTCCTACTTTAATAAACTGGGAAATTGAGCTCAGAGGGTTTAATAGATACACTCAGCATCACAAAGCTGTGGAGTCGAAGTGAAATTCAGGTCCACCAAGCTCCAAAGTGTGTGCTGCCTCTTCTACCTTCTGTCGTGCTCTGACAATACCACCTGCTCTGAAGACATGGATTTGGCATTTCCCTTGTGTCTCTTTAGGTTATTAACACCTTGGGTATATCTTTTTGTGGGGAATATAGGCATTACATCATTTTTACAATGAGATCCAAACTGTTAGAAGGCCGAACTGTATCTCACACATTTTCCAAAAATTTCCCCGCAACAGCTAGGACAGTACCAGCAGCTGGTTGGTGCTCAGTAAATGGGATCATCAGGCAGAAATTGATCCCAGTGCAGTTATGCTAAACATGAACTTTACAAAATTTGTGGTGGTGCATATCTTATAATCCTAGTTACTCAGGAGGTGAGGCAGGAAGATAGCAAGTTCTAGGCCAGCCTGAGCAACTTGACAAGGATTTGTTTCAAAATAAAATGAGGCCAGGCATGGTGGTATACACCAGCACTCAGGAGGCTGAGGCAGGAGAGTCACTGAGTTCAAGGCCAGCCTGGGCTACAAAGTGCGTTCAAGCTTGACTGTATAGTGAAATCCTATATCAAAAGGACAAAAAATCTTTTCCCCCTGTGGCATTTCTGGGCCAGCAGGTCTGTGCAGAGCCATGGGTGCAGGTCTCTATTTTATACAGGATGGGTTTTGTTAAAGTTGTCAAGAATAAGGCCTCTTTAAGAGATACCAAGTGAAGTTTAGAAGACAAGAGGGAAAAACTGATTGCTATGCTGAGAAATGCTTGGTGATCCAGGACAAAAATAAGTACAACACACCTAAACACAAGATGATACTTTGTATAACTAACAGAGATACCATTTTTCAGATCACTTATGCCCATATTAAAGGGGATCTAATAGTCTGCGTAGCATATGTACATGAACTACCAAAATACAGTGTGAAAGTTGGCTTAATAAATTATGCTGTGTCATATTGTACTGGCCTGCTGCTGGCCCACTGGCTTCTCAGTAGGTTTGGCATGTATAAGATCTGTGAAGGCCAGGCAGAGGTAACTAGAGATGAATACACTGTGGAAAGCATTGATGGTAAACTTAGTGTCTTCACCTGCTATTTGGGTACAGGCCTTGCCAGAACTACAATTGGCAATAAAGTTTTTGGAGCTTTGAAGGGTGTTGTGGGTGGAGGTTTGTCTGTCCCTCACAGTACCGAATGATTCTCTGATTACAATTCTGAAAACAAGGAGTTCGTTCAGTGAAGAAGTACATGGGAAGCACATCATGGGTCAGAACGTCACAGGTTATATGCATTACCTGATGGAAGAAGATGAAGATGCTTACAAGACTCAGTACATAAAGAACAGTGCAACTCTGGATATGATGGAGGAGATGTATAAGAAAGCTCATGTGTAAAATGTATAAAAGAATCCAGTCTATGAAAAGAAAAAAGTTAAACAGAAGAGGTGGGACCATTCCAAAATGTACCTTGCCCTGAAAAAAGATCAGGTAGTTTAAAAGAAGGCAAGCTTCCTCAGCGCTCAGGAGCAGGCTGCTGAGAGTTAAACCAACTCTTTTATGGAGATTTTTCAGATAAAGAAGAGTAAACTTACTCATTAAAAAAAGAAAGAAGACAAAAAGTTAAATTAATTAAGTGCAGGAGTGTGGCTCAGCACACATTGGGTTTGATCCCCAGTACCCAAAAAAAAAAAAGTTGCAGTGATGGGGCTGGGCTCAGTGGTAGAATGCTAACCGAGTATGTCTGAGGCCCTGGGTTTAATCCTCAGCATTGCATAAAGAAATAAATAAATAAGCCAGGGTTGAAAATGTGACAGTTCAGAACCTGCCACCTCAGCTATTTGGCAGAGCCCTCAGGGGCTTGGAAATATCGAAAGGCCCTACAGAGAGCTACAGAGGAACCTCTTCCCCTGCAGTCTATGTGGGAGATGTGGGAGCGCTGTGCCCACCACCTCACCGAGGCCATTCAGTACGTGGTGGAGTTTGCCAAGCGGCTTTCAGGCTTCATGGAGCTCTGCCAGAATGACCAGATTGTCCTAATAAAAGCAGGTGCCTGGGGCAGGGGAGAGGATGCGGGTTGGGGGCCAACCAAATTCAGGGAGGAGGTGACACTGAGAGACGCAGAGAGTCCTGGCTTTGCTTGACACTGTCTGTATGTTTTCTCTGCCCCCTCTACAGGAGCAATGGAGGTTGTGCTGGTTAGGATGTGCCGCGCCTACAATGCTGACAACCACACAGTCTTTTTTGAAGGCAAATACGGTGGCGTGGAGCTGTTTCGAGCCTTGGGTGAGGGGCAGGGGGCAACAAGAGAGATTCTGATGCCAGCCCATGTGAAGCTTCATGCCGCAGGGTCCCCTCTTTGCAGAGCCAAGTGCCCCTCTGATCCAGACGCCAGAGGGCAGTGTCGCTGGGTACCATGGACTCCCGGCCTTGCTCACTCTAAGTCATTTCCACCCCACCAGGCTGCAGCGAGCTCATCGGCTCCATCTTTGACTTCTCCCACTCCCTAAGTGCCTTGCACTTTTCTGAGGATGAGATCGCCCTCTACACAGCCCTTGTTCTCATCAATGCCAGTGAGTGTTGCGAGGCTTGGGGACAGACCTTTCAAGTGGCAGGGGCACAGCAACAGATTGAGGAGTCTAGGCTCTTGGATGTGGTTCAGTCTGGGAGAGTGCTACAAACAGCAGAATGAGCCCCATTTAATATTGCTGTAAAATAAAAGGAATTAAAATGATGATTCAGAAGCACCCCGGAGCAGGGCAAGAACAGCAGAAGGCGGGCTGTAGATGTGAGGAGACTTGAGTGTCAGTGATTTCTTGGGAATGCACTTTGGAACCACCTGAGGAGCCTTAAAAACTATTGCTGCTTGGGTCCCTACTCCAGAGATTCTGGTGTAATGGATCAGGATGCACCAGAATTTACAGCAACCACCCAGGCCACCTTTGAGAATCACTGCCCTGAGTGAGCTCATTTTGAGGTGACTTGCCTGCAGTGACAATCTGCCCTGGAATGGGCTGGGCAGAGCCAGCAGAACCCAAGGAAGTGGGCCTGCCTGCTAACCTGAATTTGTAGATAAGCAGAATCAGTCTTCTGGGCTTTAACAATAAGAGACCTAAATGTGCCACTGGATCTGGAAATAAAGACTTTAAAGATGACCTTCAAGGGGCTGGGGGTTTAGTTCTGTGGCATAACTGTCTGTTTAGCAAATGTGAGATCATGAGTTCAATCCCCATCACAAAAAAAAAAGGTGGCCTTCAAATATTTTAGGGAATCAAGGCAAAAATTAGTTTGGGTGTTTAAGTTGGCCAGACTGCTGCAGAAGCCCCAGAAAGGGCCTGCCTGGCTTCAGGAGGCCATTTCTACCTGGAGCCATTCTCCTAAGAGTAGGGGAAACTTTCTTCCAACCCCATGGAAGACATGACAGAATCCCAGTTCCTAGCATCAAAAGGGTTATGTGAAGCACAAGGTTACCAGGGAGGAGGTAGCTTGGTGTTAAGAGGTTAGAAGCTGCTGTTCCTTTCGTTTCTCCTCAATTTCCTTTATAGACAGCTGGCCAAACCCAAGAGGTTCACACACACACACACTCTCAACTGGAAAGGCCTCTTCAGCACAGGTCCCCAGAAGGATCAATTGTCCCCCTTTTCAGTTTTTCTTTCCTCTCTCTCTCTCTCTCTCTCTCTCTCTCTCTCTCTCTCTCTCTCTCTTTTTTTACTGGAAATGAGTGTCCTTGTTCCTCTTCTCACTCTGGTCCCATCTCCTCCTTCAGACCGGCCAGGGCTCCAGGAAAAAAGGAAAGTAGAACAGCTGCAGTACAGCCTGGAGCTGGCCTTTCATCATCATCTCTGCAAGACTCACCGCCAAGACATCCTGGCAAAGGTAGGAGCGGCCCTGTGGTAGGACAGCCAGGCCCCATGCCAGGTCTGTGACATCAGGGCTCGTGATGCTGGGACCAGGGCTCTGGGTGCAGAGTGTTGGAGGGCTGCAGGATGTCAGTGAGGTGGCACTAGCAATGGGAACTGTGGGGATGAGCAGCTCCTTTCGTGTGCATAGAGATGGAAAGTTAGAGAGCCTGGAATTGGAAGGCACCCCTGGGGAACAATTCAGTTTAATATAGCCAACACTTAGCCAGCACCTGCCTATACAAGGCACTGTGGAAAGATACAGAAACTCATTTTTGCCACCACCTACCGATTTTAATCTGGTACAAACAGTCTCATGTACCTTGTGGTATAACTTTATATTAAGTGTGATCTGTGCTATTATAATAATGTGATTAACAAAGTGCTTTCACTGCTGTATACTCTTGTCCTCATGGCACCCCAGCCAATAGAATAAATGGTAAAATTTCCCTGCTGTCCAGGGCATTATAGTACATGCCTACAATTCCCAGCACTCTGGGAGGTTGAGTCAGGAGGCGGTTCAAATGCAGCCTAGGCACTCAATGTAGCAAGACCCCATCTCAAAATAGAAAATTTAAAAAGACTGGGGATGTTGCTCAGTGCAAAGGCCCTGGGTTCAGTCCTTGGTATCATTTTTAAAAATTCCTTGTAGCAATAAGGAGACTTATATGACTTGTTTATGTGATTCATTAAGTGATAAATGTAAATTTTAGTCCTGGTTCTCTTTCTACCATATCCCCATACACCCAATACCCATACCCAAGATTTTTCCAAAATCTTTTACAGGCAAAGAACAAGGTATTCAAGACAATTTGACAGTAAAAGAGGTCATAAAGACTTCCTAGAGAGGTGCCATTTAAACAAGCCATGAAAGACAGAAGGTTTAATCAACATCCGTGAGGAGACAGGTGTCCAGACTTAGGGAATGATGTGAATAGAAAGGAGGCAAAAACCCCAGTTTTTGGGCACAGTGAGCTGGGCATAGTGGCGCACTCCCGTAATCCCAGCACTTGGGAGGCTGAGGCAGGCAGATTATGGCAAGTTCGAGACCAGCCTGAGCTACAAAGTAAGCCCAAGGCCAGGCTGAAATGCAGAGTGAGACCCTGTCTTAAAAAGACCAAAAAAAGGGGGCTGGGGATTTAGCTCAGCGGCATAAGCACCTGCCTTCCAAGCAGGCAGTCATGAGTTCGATCCCTGGTGCCGATAAAAATGAAAAAGACAAAAAAAAAAAAAAAAAAAAAAAACCTGGGCATAGTGGTGCACACTTAACAATTCCAGCACTCAGAAGGCAGAGGCAGGAGGATCACCATGAGTTCAAGTCCAGCCTGGACGCCATAGTAAGACCCTGCTTCAAAATAAATACATACGTACATACCAAGAAGGAACTAAAATAATGTACTTATGGCCAGGTGTGGTGGCCCCTATCTGAATCTCAACACTCTGTAGGCTGAGGTATGGGGATTACAAGTTGAAGCAATTTAGCAAGACCTACCTGAAAACAAAAAAAAAATTTTAAAAGACCGAGGAGGTAGATCAGTGCAAAGACCTTGAGTTCAAGCCCTAGTACCAGTAATAATAATGTCACTAACAATAATGCTCATATGGAGAATGTTCACAGTACCTTTGACTAAAGGATGAGATCAGAAGCCGGGATATGTTGATGATGTAGAAGAGTAGCAAAACTCAGGTATGAAAATTAAGTCAGAACAAAGTCAAGGAGGACTTTCAGTACCACATGCAAGAGTTATGCCTTTCTTTCTAGGCAATGGGGAGCCCTGAGGACTGGAGGAATGATATAATCAGAGTATTACTTGGTCAATTTACTTTGGAGCCAGTATGAAGGAACCATCTATGTAATCAAGGGGCCCCTTGCTAAGTGCCATGTACAGGGCTAGCATTCCACAGATAGAAATGACCTTAGAAGAAGAGCGATGACTTTAAATAGCTTCTGCCTGAAAGAACTTGAACTTTAATCTATTACAAGATAGATTAAAAGAAGATACTGTAACCTGAAATGCTAATGTGGTTGGATTCACTTTTGAAACACAATGCCCACCCCAGCAGATAGCTATGGGGTGACCATAGCTGTCTGCTCTCCTTTGGTCCATTAGCAAAGTCTCCTGCCTGGACCCCTATTCCACCCTTTTCTGCGCCATTGCAGCCACACAGCACCTGCTCAGCACCCATGATGGCCTAATTTGGAGGGCGGATCCATCATATCCTAGTCTGGTTCTCCACCCTGTAGAGACCTGTCATGCTGAGATGCAAACCTACAGTCTTGTCATGGCCAACCAGACTCAGGAGAGAACCCTGGGTTGTTTTTTTTCCTCACCTCACCCTCTGCTGCCTTGTTTCAGCTAATTTTTCTTGTTGCTGTGACAAAATACCCAATACCCAAAGTTAAAGGAGGAAAGATTAACTATGCTCACGGTCTGTAGAGGTTTCTGTTCATAGTCAGCTGGCTTCAAGGCAGAGTGGCATGGTAGTGGGACATCACAGAAGAGAAATAGTTCATAGCAGGCAGAAGGCAGCAAGCTCCAAGTGACCAGCAGCAGCCCTCTTTTCTGTCCCTTATATCTTATCCAGGCTACCCACCCTTAGGAGGGATAGCACTAACACCCAGGGCTCTGCCAAACCAATCAGTGAACTAATTCAGTAATCACACACCTTTAATCTCAGCATCATACACTTTAGATCCAGCCACCTCCAAATGCCCTACCTATAACTGCATGAGGCTTTGGAGTACATATAGATATAGGCCATAACGCACCCCTTCATCATTCATTCCAACCATCCTGGCCTCCTTGCTGTCCCTTGAGCCCATTAATTAAGCCCAGTTGAATCCCAGGAATATTTATACCTGTGAGGAGGCTTTCTCCTAGCTTTTTGTGTTTTGGGTTTTCAGAGTAGGGGGGACTTTTTGAGACAGGGTTTTGTTATGCAGTTCAGGCTGGCCTAGAACTCACTTTGTTGCCCAGGCTAGCCTAGAACTTGTGGTGATCTTCCTGCCTCAGCTTCCTGAGTGCTGGGATTACAGGCATGTGCCACCACACCCATCCCCAGTTTCTGAATGGCTTACTCTATCATTCAAAAACCCTAACCAGTTACCCCACACAATAAGCCCTTTACCCTTCACCCTGAATTAGTTTCCTGTAAAGGATTCATTCAGTGCATCATGTGCAGTCATGTGCTGCTTCCTGACAAATGTTACCTCCTTGCAATGTGACCTCATGGAGTATACAGCTAAAACAGCTAACAATATAATCTGATGTATGTTATTCGTCATTTCCTGAAATACTGTTAGGTGGCATTTAGCTGCATTTATTTTCTGGATTCCTCACTGGAATAGAAATTTAATAAAAGCAGAGATCTTATCTCATCACAGTCTATCACATTGCCCAGTCCAGGTTCATAGTTTCTCAACAAATATTTGTTGAATCAATGAATGAAGCTATATAAATAGTAGACCAGACAAACTCAATAAAGTAGTAGATGCAAAACATAATGAATTTAAGAGCTATGAAGGGGTTACCATGCTTCTGGCTCTCTTCTGTCACCTTCCTAGAAAACTAAACTGCAATAGGGAGGTAATAGGTGGAGAGAGGTATTTTTAAGCCTCACTTGGTCATACAGGATAGTAGGAGATAAATTGTATTTTCACCCTTTCTCCCATAAGGTGTCCCTGCCTATCTCCATATGGGTTTCTGTGCTTTTTTTTTTTTTTTTTTTTTCTTTTTCAGTGCTGGTTGATTGAACCCAGAACCACATAAATACTAAGGAAGAACTGTAACTGACCTACATGCCCACTCCTTTTACCATTTTATTTTGAGCCAGCATCTCATTAAATTGCCTGGGTTAGCCTGGAATTTGTAAACCTCCCGCACCATCTCCTGAGGAGCTGGGATCATGGGTGCGCACCCGTGCCTGGCTTTGGCCTATGCCCTTTCCACTTCCCCTCTGGCTGGTGGGGTAGGTTTACTACTTGTAGTTTAGGCGATTGCTTGAAAGGCTGTTTAGTTCGAACAGTGCTTGAGCATTTGCAATGCACCAAGCACTGTGATGTCTATAAAACATACACAGTCAGACAGGCAGACTTTACCTAAGGAGCTTACATGTAGCCTGGAAAGATATAAGCAGGATCTTTTTCCTACAGTATAGTAAGTGTTCTGCAGAGGGAAGCCCAAAGAAATTCTTTAATCCAGACAGTAGATGGGGGACCTAGGGGAATATTCCCAAGGGAAATGATATTTGGAGTGGGAATTAGCCAAGCAAGGAAGAGTTAGAAAGGTATTCCAGATGAGGGGAACAGCACGAACAAAGACAAGGCTGCAAACAGCGTTTGTTTCAGGAGTAGCAGGAACATGAGACGCTGGGGCTTGTTCACTCAAGACACATTCACCTATTTCATGTCACCTGTCACTTATCAGCTTCCTGGACACGTGCATACTTCTACCCAGGGGATTCAGGGACCCCAAAGTGCCTCGCAGGTAGGGAGAAAGTAAGGAGGGTCATGCTGGGAGAGCACCAAATTACTGACCTTCCTTCTGCATTAACCCATCTCCAGCTGCCGCCCAAGGGGAAGCTGCGGAGCCTGTGCAGCCAGCATGTGGAGAAGCTGCAAGTCTTCCAGCACCTCCACCCCATCGTGGTCCAAGCCGCCTTCCCACCACTCTACAAGGAACTCTTCGGCACTGAAATCGAGTCCCCGGAGGGGCTGTCCAAGTGACCTGGAAGAGGGAGGCCTTTTCTCTGTCTTTGGCACTCTGGCCACCTTCCAGGACCCTGTTCTACCCTCAGCCCACCCTCATTCCTTCCCCATACCTTTTGCAGGGTGGTTCCCACCTGTTCTCTGGGAGTGAGCAAATGCTGAGATCAGTTCTCAGACACAGACTTGCCTGGTAGGGGACAATAGCCAGAGTGCAGCAATGGAGGAAAGCTATCTCCAGCCTCAGCCTCCTCTGTCTCCTTCCCCACAGCCTCCACCTCGGCTTGTATGACTGTGGAATGGGTGGGATCTAAGGACCTCTAAGAGGACCAAAGTTTCCTCAAGAAAACAAGAAAATCCAGGTCACCCTGAATGAAGAGAACTCAACTCTGGGCTCAGAAGCAAAGAACAGGCCTTTGAAATACCTCACTGTACTTCCCCATGCTCTTTGGCTGGGGGAAGATAAATCAAGCTCAGAAACTAGTGGCAAGACCCCAGAAGGACCTAGATATAACATGAATCTGGATCCTTAGAATTTTAAGCCTCGTTCCTCTTCTCAGTTCAGCAAAAATGTTGCTGGGCACCTGCCTCTTTCCTGGGGTCTAAACATGGGATACGTGGAGCACAGTGAGGGAATGTGGGTGAGGGACAGGGTAACTGTTTTAAAGGATGGTTTGGATGAGGATGATTTGGACGAGAGAGGGCAAAATGGAGGTCAAAGACATGACAGGCAGATACAGAGTTGGAACTCAAACTTCTTACAGGCACTTTAAAAACAAATTTCAGGAGTTAGCACAAATCTGAACAGAGACACACTTCACATACAGGTGAAAAGCATGCAAACTCAACCTGCAAGTTTTATAGACACTTATGATATGACCTAATCACTCACCCTTGAAGTCACAGCTCAGAAAATCATAGTGACTGAAGGAAGAAACTCAATGTGTATGGTGGCTCATGCCTGTAATCCTGATGTTCAGGAGGATCACTGTGAGCTGGAGGCCAGCCTGGGCTACAAAATAAGTTCAAGCCAGCCTGCACCGCAGAGCAAGACCCTGTCTCAAAAAGACAAAAACAAAACAAAACACCCTCAATGCTGAGTTCCAGGAACATTTCCACGGTGCTCCAGCCCTCCAGTCTTAGGGGGGTTATCCTAATCCCATCCTGGCTCCAGCTGTCTTCTATCATAAGAACACCAGGACATGCAGAGAGGGCTGGGCTGGGGTCAGCCCAAAGGCTGTGACAAAGCCAGGAATATTTGCTTGGCTCTGGCATCCAGCACTGCTCTCACAATGGAGACAGGAATGCCTTGTTATTCCACCACTGTGGTTAGGGGCTGCTGACTCCCACATGAGGAGGAACCCAAGCACAGGGCAAGTGTTTCTCCTGCTGTGATCTTGCCCCAAACTTCTCTTGGCTTTACAAGCAGCTTTGTACTTTCCCGGGAGGGACAAACGGCAGATGATAGAAAATTTTTTTTCTTCTCAGCAGAGGGGTTTAGCCGGGTAAACATAAAATCCACGTTATACCACTCTTTATAAAACGACTTTGAAGGCAAAAGTTTGTGTGTGTACACACACACAGGCACACACACACAGAGTCCATAGCTAACCAAATGTCCAGTCGCATTTTTGTGTCCACTCAGCAGTCCATTGGCGTTATAGGGATTCCAGCCTCTCAGGTTCTCCCCAAATTGAGCAGTCCAGTCCTCTGGCAACCCCACTGAAGTTGCCTCACACTGAGCGCCAGAGGGATGTTGTAGATTGAGAACTTTCCCACAAATGATACCCATGGGGGTTGTTTAGATTTACAAATTGCACAGAATTGCCTGCATCTGAGAGACTAAAAGACAGTACCCTGAAAGGTGGTTGGCCCCAAGAGGTCTCCAGCTCTCCAGCGGGGAATAAAGATGCCTTCGAGCAAGTGAGCACCTTTGGCGATCCTGCTGCAGCCTCTACTGCAGCCCCCTCCCTGCGCAGCCACCCTCCTCGCTTCCTCCCCACCCCCAGACGGTGGTGGCACTTGCTGCAGCCTCCCGGTGCTTTATTTATTTATTTATTTATTTATTTTGCACCAACAGGATTGCTGCAGACTCATTCTTGCCTGTTTTAAAAAGAGAGGGAGGAGAGAGGAGAGAGGAGAGACGAGAGAGAGACAGAGAGAGAGAAATGCTTCCTGGCTCTTTTCTCTCCCTCATCCTTGGCAGCAATGGCCACAGCAGCAGGAGCAGCAGAAGCAGCAGCAGCAGCAGCAGCAGCAGCAGCAGCAGCAGCAGCAGCAGCAACAGCAGGCAGGGGGGCAGCCGGCAGTGGGGACTGAGGCACAGAGGGGAGGTACAGGGGCCGAGGACCTGCTCCATTGGGACAGGGTCCTCAGCCCTGGACAGATGCAGTGACCAACTTGATGCCACCCTCCAGCTTCTCTGGTAAGTGCCCCTACTCTCTGTCCCAAAGCGGCAGCTGCCCTTTCCTATAACATTCTCAGAGACAAAGCCAGACCAGTGTCCCTATCAATGAAAGAGGCACTTGCACCCCCCACCCTGCCACCCATTAATCCCAGCCCCACAGGACTTTGACAGGGAAACTAAAACACCCCAGGTGCCCCTAGATGGGAAGACGCCAGGAGTCCTCTCCTCCAGTCTCCCCAGTACTCCCTCTGCCTCTGAGGAGGATTTTCCCCTACAGTCCGTGGGACGTTCCAGAAATCTTCCCCCCAGGGCACCATTCCCCACACAGGTCTCAACCAGGTATGTTTAGAGAACACGCTGATGTTCCCTTGTTTCTCTGGACTGTCACACAGAGGCAAGGAAGAAGCTTTGCTCCCTTGAGGGGGTGATGTCCCAGACCTTACTCTCTGAAGGAGAGAAAGAAGTGGCTCTGGTACCCATGTCTCCCTGCAAAGTGGCCAGTCATGTGGCCACCAAGGTTGGCAAGGGAAGTTATGTGATTGAATTAGCTGCTTTAGAAATAAGAGAGGCTGACCCTAAGTCCCCCAACTCTGGCCCAGCAGGCTTTGGCAACTAAGAGGACACTCACCGAAGTGGGAGGACAAGAAGCCGTGTTACATGCTTCACTGCACTTTTGCTGAATGCAGAGCAGAAGGGATGAGCAGGAACTGCAGCAGCTGTGATAAAGAGCTAGCGGTCAGGTGGACTTCCCAGAGCAGACCCAAGAAGCAGGAGGGAGGCTGGGACAGTTTCCCTGGAGATCTCTGAGCATGCAGAGCTACCTGTTAGGTCAGAACAAGGGCAGCCTTGCTCCTTACTGTGATTCTCAGAATGTTTTCTACACTCCTGTGTTCTGTTGGCCTCCTTCTTTAGCCCAGTGCCATAGTTCTCTGAAGTAACTACAGGACAGCCTCTCCAAAGATCCTCCCAGAGGAAGGTTAGAGTGGGAAAGGAAAGGAAAAAGTCATATCATCTCTTAAACTGCCTCTCTTACCCTCCACTTGGTAGAAATAGAGCATGCTGCAGAAAACTGACCTTATAGGATCCAGAAAGCCTGAGGCCCCAAACTCAGAAATGATCAAGACTCACAGGCGGGGAGAGAGGACCAGGCCTGTTGCCTCCAGAAGTATCAGTTGGTTCTTGCTCCTATTTCTCTGCCATTCTTGCCAATTGCAATACTTCCCCTCCCTTGGGTTCCCTGCTGCAACAACAGGACAAACTGCAGGGCTCTCACCATGAAGGATCCCTTCTCCTCTATCACCTCAGCCAGGTCCTCAGTGGTCAGTCATCGTAGTCACCAACTTCCTAATATTCCCCTGTCCAGGTACTCAGCAACTCATTTTACGTCAGCAGGCTCTGCACTCTGCCTGGGGCCGGTTGTCTGCTGTGCTGTCCCCACTTCATAGCATCTGGTCAGATGTTGTCTCCCCTCCCTTATCTATGCCTCCCTGGTGACAGTCTGCCTCTTATGCATTGCTCCAGCAGCTCAGGGTACAGGGCACAAGAGCTCACTCTCAGTTTCACACATAGACTAGAAGCAATACATTAGAAAGAGGGCTATGAGAGACACCCAAGACTGAAGTCTGAGAAGCAGAACCAAAACCCCGAGCGCCCTCTGGATCCCTCTCACACTCCAACTCCACGGGCAAGGGTGGTGGGATGTGCTTTGGTCTTTTGTAAAGGATTCCCAGCTCCCCACCAAGCACTCCCTGCACCCTGGGCCATGCTACTGTGCACCTGAGCTCTTGTCCACACAGGCCCTCTAGGGACACTGGATCTGCTAGTTCAGAGCTTGGGCCCTGGGCCAGTCTGAAAGAGGCCAGAGACTGGGGGCAGAGCTGAGGCCTGCATGTTTCCCAGCCTCCAGTGACTTAGTCAAGGTGAAGACCTATTTCTGTCAGTACAAAGAGCTCTAGCCAAGGATGTGACCTTCCTGAGCCTTAGAGAAAGTTGTGGATACACAAAATGGGAGACATAGTCGGCCAAGAGGGACAGAGCAGCACTTGGAGAGAGTTGCAACAAGGGCAAGCAGAATTGTGGTGTTCCTGGATCTTACAGACCCAGGAAAACCCCCATTATATAGCCAGACTCAGAGTTCGTTCCCTGCTGCTCCATGTTTTATTCCCATAAAACTTTCTCTATTAGCAATCAGTTTGACTAGACTCCATGAGCACTTGGGCAGTTATCCAGGGCTGGGAGAGGGGAGGAAAGGAGAGATTCCCTAAAGAGGAGCCCCAGAAAGCCCTAGGGAGGTAGCACACCTGAATCCTTCCTGATTTTGTGCTGTCCTGGCCAGCAATGCTGAGACAGATAGATCAAGTCCTCTCTCTAAAGAGGGCCAGGGAAGTCCAGGGTCATTATCTCAAGCCACTCTCCAAAAAGGGCCATGTCATCATCTATTCCAGGGCTCGAGAGGGGATGGATACAGCCAAAGCTCCAAAGCAAGCCTGGCCCCCGTGGCCTCCCCTCCTTTTCCTGCTCCTTCTGCCTGGAGCAGGCAGTACCAGCTGCCCTGCTGTGTGTGATTGTGCCTCCCAACCCCGGGCAGTACTCTGTGCTCACAGGCGGCTGGAGGCTGTCCCTGGGGAACTCCCCCTGGACACTGAGCTCTTGGACCTGAGTGGGAACCGCCTATGGGGGCTACAGCGGGGTATGCTCTCACGATTGGGCCTGCTCCAGGAACTGGACCTCAGCTACAACCAGCTCTCCATACTTGAGCCCGGAGCCTTCCATGGCCTACGAAGTCTGCTCATACTGAAGCTCCAGGGCAATCGACTCCGAATCATGGGCCCTGGGGTCTTTTCAGGGCTGTCTGCCCTCACATTGCTGGACCTCCGCTTTAACCAGATTGTCCTCTTCCTGGATGGAGCTTTTGGTGAGCTAGGCAGCCTCCGGCAGCTGGAGGTTGGAGACAACCACCTGGTGTTTGTGGCTCCTGGGGCCTTTGTAGGGCTGGCACAGTTGAGAGCCCTCACTCTGGAGCGATGCAACCTCAGCATGGTGCCTGGCCTTGCCCTCGCCCGCCTCCCAGCACTTGTGGCCCTTAGGCTTCGAGAACTGGATATTGAAAGGCTGCCTGCTGGGGCACTGCAGGGGCTGGGGCAGCTGAAGGAGCTGGAGATCCACCACTGGCCATCTTTGGAGGTTCTGGAACCGGGGAGCCTGGCTGGGCTCAATCTAAGCAGCCTGGCCATCACTCATTGCAATCTGAGCTCAGTACCCTTCCAGGCACTGTACCACCTGAGCTTCCTCAGGGTCTTGGATCTATCTCAGAATCCAATCTCGGCCATTCCAGCCCGAAAACTCAGCCCTCTGGTACGGCTCCAAGAGCTCCGGCTGTCAGGGGCCAGCCTCACCTCCATTGCTGCCCATGCCTTCCACGGCCTGACTGCCTTCCACCTCCTGGATGTGGCAGATAACTCCCTTCAGACACTAGAGGAAACAGCTTTCCCTTCGCCAGACAAACTGGTCACCCTCAAGTTGTCTGGCAATCCCCTGACTTGTGACTGTCGTCTCCTTTGGCTGCTCCGGCTGCGCCGCCACCTGGACTTTGGCACATCACCCCCTGCCTGTGCTGGCCCCCAGCATGTTCAGGGGAAGAACCTGCGGGAGTTTTCAGATATTCTGCCTCCAGGGCACTTCACTTGCAAACCAGCCCTGATCCAAAAATCTGGGCCTCGGTGGGTCATTGCAGAGGAAGGGGGACATGCCGTTTTCTCCTGCTCTGGAGACGGAGACCCAACCCCAACTATCTCCTGGATGAGGCCTCAGGGGCCTTGGCTGGGAAGAGCTGGGAGAATTAGGGTCCTAGAGGATGGGACACTGGAGATCCGATCAGTGCAGCTACAGGACAGGGGAGCCTATGTCTGTGTGGTTAGCAATGTAGCTGGGAATGACTCCCTAAGGACCTGGCTGGAAGTAATCCAAGTTGAACCACTAAACGGTACTCTCTCTGACCCCAACATCACCATGCCAGGGATCCCAGGGCCTTTCTTTCTGGACAGCAGGGGTGTGGCTATGGTGCTAGCAGTTGGCTTCCTCCCCTTCCTCACCTCGGTGACCCTTTGCTTTGGGCTAATTGCCCTCTGGAGCAAGGGCAAGGGCCGGGTCAGACATCACATGACCTTTGACTTTGTGGCACCTCGGCCCTCTGGGGATAAGAACTCTGGGAGTAACAGGGTCACTGCCAAGCTCTTCTGACCTTTCCTTACATCCTAAGGATTCAAGCAAGTCCACTCCAGATGCCAAAGGGGAAGGCAGAAGCAAAGCCACTCTGGATCAGACCTTATTCTGAGCAACACAGATCTTTCACATTTGCCTTTCACGGTGCCACAACTGGTGATGCTGGAAGAAGGGCTGCTGCCCTGTGCTTCTCCAAACTGAGGACAGCACTGTCTTCTCTTTAAAGAAGAGATTCTAAGAGTCACAGATACTGTAGTTAGCCCAGCCTTCCCTGAACCACCCCTTCAACACATACACACAAGCGTGAACCATAATCAAGCTTCCAGTCTGCTACTCTAACCACCAAGCTTTCTTCGCCTTCTTACAACTTTGATAACCAATACCATCTGCCAACCCCAGCAGTGAGATTATTTCAGAAGTGGGGCTGGAAAGTGCCACTGCTGAATGGAATCTCTGCTCCTCGCCCAGACAGTCTCCCTTTCTCTTCTGGTCCTCAGCCCCAGCCTAGTCCCAGCCTCTAGGTGCAAGGAACTAGAGCCAAGGATCCTCAGGCAAAGGAGAAGAGCATGCATGTGTGGGACAGGGGAGGGCAGATCACATATTGCACTGTCTGCATGAGCCTGTCTGATCATTAAACCTGCTGCCAAAAGGCCACAACAGTCACAGCCAAGACAAAACATGATCTCTGGAACTTTCTTTACCTCAGTTTATCCCCCCTTTTCCCCTTTCTGCCTGCCTATTGATGAGTATCTTGGTGACCATGACTCCACCTAATCCAGTCTGCCAATGAAGGCAAAGGTCGATGGTGCCCGCCTGTTTTAGTCTCAATTCTTCCACTTGTACATTCCATCTCTGGACCTGAGGAGATTCCTCCACCTTCAAGGGATGCCTACGCCAAAATCCCAGCCTAGTTCACCAACTTGTTCCCTTCTTTTACATTTCTAGTCACTCTTCCATAGAGGTCTGGTGCCCTGGGGGAAAACCCAGAAAGGACCTCCTAGAAAAAGACTAATAAATATGAGAAACTGCATCACTCCAAGGAGGGAGACCCAGCTTGGAGGCGGCAGGGAGTGTGGCCAAGCAAGCTGTAGTGAAAGTGGAGGAAAGAGAAGTGGAGCGGGTACAGTCTGCCTGGTTTCTTTCCACCACCTTTCTGCAGCAACTCCCACCCCCACCGCGTTTAGCACCGTCCCAGTGGGAAGCTGTCTCTGGACAGATGTCACCGAGCAGGGAAGAGGAATGCGCAGTAAACTGCTGAGTACCACAAAGACAGACAGCAGACAGAAGACAAAGCAGAGCTCTGAGAAGTACAGATGCTGGGCTCTGAAGGGACAGAGCAACAGCCTCAGCATCATCAGAAGACAAGGAAGGGAAGGGAGCAGAGAAGTGAGAGAAGGGATAGACAAGCGGAGAATCACGTGGTGGCTTAGGAGACTTTCTGTGGCAGCATCTGCCCTGTACCCTTAGTTTCCCTCCTCAACTCACCCCATACCTGCAGGCACCCTGAGCTTCCTAGCTGATGTCACTGTCCTTGCTCTGAGGAGGGCCCACTCATTACAAGAGCACCAGCTCAGATTATCCCTGACAGGTGAGGGCAGCTAGAACCACTGAGCAGGCAAAGCTCTTTAGTGGGGCAGAAGTCAATGTGAGAATCCAGCAGTGTGGTAAGTGAGTCTGGAGAAACTGACGTTCTTGAGAAATGGCCATCCCTGAGCCCACCTCCGCCCTGTGCACACAACTCAGCATCCAGAAACCTCCTCTCTCAGGTTTCTGATGCACCCTCCTCTCTGTAATCTTTCACCCGGCAGCTTATTAGGTTGGGACCTGGGAGTTGAGCACCAACGGTGCTCACTAGTTGTCCTCTCTGCAATGCAGATAAGCACTCACTGCTGGGGCCCTGGGGCAGCTAGGAACAGATGAGAATCTGGCAGAGGGAGATGCTGCTGCCCAGTCTCAGCAACACACATATACAAGAGAAAGAAAAGTTGAGTCACACATGTAATTTCAAACTTAAAGTGGCTCCATTAAGCAAAATCAAAATGAGGCAGGCTAACCAATGGACCCAAACTGTTACCATTTCAACATATCCATGCAAAAACCAATGATGACACATTTAACATTTTTTTCATACTTGGTTTTTGACATTAATAGTATATTTTACACTTATAAGGCATCTCAATTCAGTCACTAAATTTTTACCAGAAATGTCTATAATTCATAAAAGTAACCTTTAAAAAAGTAGATTCACACATTCAAGATGTTCTAAACATAGTGAAAAGTTTCCCAACAACTGAATTATCTATTCTTAATTTTAAATTAATTAAAATTAACTACAGTTAAGTTTCTAGTCCCCAGTCACACTATAACATTTACATGTATGTAAGAGCCACATGTGCCCAGTAGCTACTACACTGGACAGAACAGCTCCAGAGACTCTAACTCTGGGCTTAGACTTAGGTCTCTCTGGTGGGTGAGGTCTCCCCCAAGAAACGTTCACATCTCATGGAGATGCTTGCGGGGTTACTCTCCACTTCCACCCCTTCAGGGCTTTCCCAAGACCCCTTCCAGAGGTAAAGCCTGTTAGAATAAGGTCACTGTGCTGAGTACTACCAAGATTGGTCCCAACATCAGCAAGCCCATCCCTTACCATACCAGTCTGGGAAGTCTGTGACTGTGCCAGCTGTGGTCTGTGTGCCAAAGAATATGCAAATACAACTGAGGCCATAGCAGGTGGCATGCTTACCAAATAGCTCTGTGGGGAATGCCAGCACACAAGGCTATGATGGTACCACGTGGGAGGGGACAGTTCAACTCCAGGCTCTGCCTGGGATGGGTGGGGATGATGCTGAGAAAAGAGGAAACATTTGTGGGGGGCTATTCTACATCAAGTGGCATTATACATGCTTTCTTATTTCATCTTCACATCGACCCTATAAAGCAGGTAGGCAACTGAACTGATGCAACTCAAAGTCAACTAGATTCTACTGCTTCAGTGGACAGAATTAGTTAATAAGGAAACCGCTTGGAATTCAGCCCTGTCTGACTGACACCCCCTACTGCTTCCACCGCACTGCTTACTCACTGTTTACTCCTCCCAAGACTTCAGTGCAGGATGATCTGCGACACAGGTGACATCTTCCACCCCACTCACTCTCCCTTTTTATAAAAGACTGGGTTCTGCTGCTGACCCTCAATTTCGTTTCATGACTCTCATCCACCTGAGTCAGGAAGTCGCTCTCCAATATCCAAATGCCTCTGCTTTAGGGACTGGTGAAAAGGAGCCAAATTCCAAGGATCTGATAGACTGAAATGAAAGGCCTGTCTCCCAGCAACGTATGTCTTCTTGATTAAAATGCAAGCTTGAGATTTCCTAATTTCTTGTCTGGGTCTTAACTAGCAACTTACTAGGTTAGAGAAAAGATGTTCAGAAATTTCCAGTACAAAAGAACAACCCATAAGCTCTTTGCATTCACTGACCCTACCCATTTTCTGCCTGCCTCGGCCTAACAGAACCTTCCCAAGGTCACCTCATTCTACCTCCCCTCTTCCTCCGCTCTTCATTTCAGTCATGGTTTCGCCTAAGCCGGGAGAACTCTAGACCCAAAGTACGCTGGCATCATTCCAGCACTCCCCATGTTGCTCCCTGATGTATTCTTTCTCTAATTTCAACTTCTTTTACTGTATTGGATCCTCTTGTTGTTTTTTTGTACAAGGGATTGAGCTCAACACATTATGCCTGCCAGGCAGGCCCTTATGCCACTGAGCTAAATCCCTGGCCCTAGGTACTGGATCCTGATGCAAGGAATGAGAGCCCTGCAAAGTAATGCTCTTCAACTTTGAGTTGTAAACCTCGAGAATACCTGGTATATGCTTTGAACCTGCTTAATGAATGCTGGGACACCCAGGCCTTACATTAACTCATTACCATACTGCCTCCTACAGCCTGTTCAGAATATACTCTAAAGAAAGGGAATAAAGTTTAGGAACTGGAGATGAGAACAAATAACAATTCACCCAATTCAGCATCTTATAATGCAACCTCTTGATTGTGATTTGGGCTTTTAGAGGGAAAATAAAATGAGAAACTCCTAGGGCCCGGGATTTAGCTCTGCAGGCATAAGTGCCTGCCTGGTAAGGGTGAGGTCATGAGTTCGATCGCCGGTACCAAATATTAAAAAAATAAAGTAAAATAATCCAATGAGAAATCCCAAGTGCATGGTGAATTGAAAGTGAGTTCAAAATCATTTCACCTAAAGTTATTCCTTCTAGTTCCCAATTTCCCTACCCAGCCAGTTACAAGTCAACCCTCTAAAATTTCCAGGAAAAGTGATCTACCTCCCTTTTCACTGCTCTGGTATGATTTTAATTTTTAATTCCTAAACTGGATTTCAACTTATTTCCTCTTTTTTGCCCACTGCAACCTCCACTGGAGTGAGAAGATAATGCAGCTATAAAGTAATTCTGTGTTTTTTATAGTACAGTGGACATGATTCCTTAGATTTAAACTACTCTGGTAACTTCTTAAAGTAAAAATAGCAATAGTGATCAAGATACTCAGATATCTAGGAACAATCTTAACAAGAAATATGTAAATTCTACATGATAAAAACTATAAACTAGTACTGATGGGGCATAAAGAACTAAAATTTATAGAATGATTCTGTATCACAAATACAATTCTTCCTTAAGCAATCTAAAACCATATTATTCCAATCAAAATAACATTAACAGTAGAAAAGTGAGTTGTATATTTTCCAAAATATACAGTAATAAAAATGAATATACTAAAATTATATACAATATGATTAGTCCCAAAATACTTGGAGTAAAAGACATGAGACACAAAAGAGCACATTCTGTGATATTCTCTCTCCCTCTCTCTCTATACACATACACACATACACACACACACACACACACACACACACACACACACACACATCAGGGAAAACTGGTTTATAGTATTAGGAGTCAGAAGAGTGATTATCCTTTAGGACTGTAGTATCAACAAAGAGACACAAGAGAAGCTGGGGCATGGGAAATATTTAGTGATTTTTTTAAAAATCTGCTATTGGTTACAAATGCATTTCATCAATATGTACACCTATCATTTGTGCATTTTTCTGTATATACACTGTACATTAACTTCTCAAATTGTGTTAAAGATGTAAAATTTTGAGAAATGATATGATACTAAATAGACAAGTCAATGGAACAGAGTGGAAAATTGAGAAGTGGGCTCAAATACATGCAACAATTTGTATATTATTAAGTTAGAATTAAAAATGGAGCAAATAGACTGAGAGAACATGGCGGACAGACAACAGCAACTACTGAACGCTCTCTAAAGGCTCGGCTCAGAGGCCAGGAATGATGCGGACTAAGGAGATACGAACCAGTAGAGATATGCTCTGCTGACTCAGGAACGAACTGGGCTGAGAGAATCCAACTTGGAATACAGTCCTGGCGCTAAAATAGGAACAGAAAAATCTCGGTGTGGAGGCTCGACTCCGCGCCATTGGAAACCGCGGTTTGGATTTCCTGCCGCCGGGCGGCCGGCTACCTCCACAGCGGCTCGGCAAGGAGAGACGCGACTGCCGAGCTCTGGGAACGGGAGTCTCCGAACGGAGTCGGAAACGCGAAGGACAGGGAGGAAGGCTGACTGGTGGCGAGGTGAGCGAGGAACTGACTCCCTACCGCAGTTTGACTCCAGCGGAGGTTTTTCTGGGCGCGGGCAGTCCTGTAAGAGCAGGGCGCGGTGGCAACTGCAGCCGCACACTTCCCTCTCGGACGGGATTGGTGAAAGGTGCCTGGCCGGAGGGACGCTGCTCGCGAACTCCCTAGGCTGGCCTAACCCAGATCCCAGAGCCTGACGGTGGCCCGGAGGAGCGACCGACTCCCGCGTAGGCTGCCTCCTCCGCAACTCCCTGGGGCGCAGCGGTGAGCGGGAACAACTAGCCAGCGCAATTTGATCAAGCTGTGGCTGACAGGCAGGGAAGCCGGGCCTCCTGTGTAAGATTACATTTTATAAGGAACAGAAAATATGGGGAAGGGAAGCAACAAAAAAGGCTCCTCGACCCCCAATCCTGAGAATCAGGCAATAGTGGACACTGCACCAATATACATTAAGCGCCATTTAGAGAGCCTCATAGACCAATTCAGGAATGAAGTTATCAATGACCTGAAGCTAGAAGTATGCAGAATAGTTAGAGAAATGCTAAGCACCACCCAGGAAAAAGCAGATGGTGGAATGGAAGAACAGAAAAAGAGGGGAGAATTGCTTGATGGAGAAAACAGAGAAAGCATTGAGTATGTGAAGCAGGTGCAAAGGGACTATCAAGAAATTAAGAAGTCTACCCAAGACTGGCATAACAGCTTGAAAGAAACTAAGGACAGACTATCTGAATTGGAGGGCAGACTTGAAACATGGGAGAATGAAATGAAAAACTTCTTAAAAATAACAAAGAAACACACAGCAATAATACAAAGACAAGAAGATGATAAGAGGAGCCATAACTTAAGGATTAAGAACATAAAAGAAGAAGTAGGGACATAAACAAGTGAACTACAAAAGCTACTCACAGAAATAATCCAGGAGAATTTTCCTAATGTAGCAAAAGGTAAAGATACTCAAATGTATGAGGCATACAGGACCCCAGCTACCTACAACCCTAACAGAGAAACACCCAGGCATATAATAATAAAAATTCCAGAAATTCAATACAAGAACAGAATATTAAAAGCTGTAAGAGACAAGAAACAGATCACTTACAAGGGAAGACCCATCAGAATTACAGCAGATTTCTCTTCACAAACCATCAAATCACGAAGAGCATGGGGAGAAATAATTCAAGCTTTGAAAGATAATAATCTACAGCCAAGATTGAGATATCCTGCACAACTGTCCCTGGAAATTGATGGAAAAACGAGGTGCTTCCAGGATAAAGAGGAACTGGGGGAATTTGCAACCACCAATTCAACCCTACAGAAAGTATTGCAGGATATTCTAAAAAAAGAAAAATACAAAGAACCCAGAAATAGGGGCGGGGAGGCCACAACGAATGGAGCAGAGAACAAAATGAAGAAGACAAACTGACAGCTACTGACAGAAAAAGAGCTCAACAGAAATGAGACAGAAGATTGGATGATAGGAACAGCTTTTTTTGGAGAAAATGACATCTTAATAGGTAATGCTGATTTAGTACCATCTTGTTTTGAAGTCTCATCTAGCTCTTGTTCTTCTGTCTCCAATGGTCTAAACAGGTTGTATCTTATTGGATTTTGTTATGTACGATAGTATAAGAAAAAACCTTTTAAAGACAAGGAGATTATACAGAGACCATTGTTCATTTTCTGTTAGTCGATTCTAAATACTCTATAATGCTGTCATTCTCTTAAATGGATTTACATTGTTTTGATATACTTAATGCTACAGTATATGAAGTTGTACTCAAGGACTTCAGGGAGGGAGTCAATATGGTAACTATTTTTGGGTCAGGATTAGCTGGTGGTGAAACACTATTCTGCTTAAATGGTTATGTTTTGATCTGCCCTGTTTCGCTGTTATGCCCTCCTTTTTCTCAATCTCCACTCCATTATTTACTTTTTTATTTTTATCCATTTAATTAAAGGGAAAAATATAGCAGGATATAATATAGTGACCCACTTTGACTTTCTATTATCTCGATTTGAAGCCCTGTATTACTCTCACCATCTTGTTTTTGACTGAGGTTCCTATATTCTGTTTTGCTGGATAGTATCAGGTTCGAAAGTTTAGGCATCAGCTGAGAAGATAATGAGATTCATTATAACGCCCATTCTCGTTGACTTTTATCTACTTTTGAAGACCTACAATATCTCCAATGTTTTGGTTTTGTCGGTTTTATTCTTTACGGTTTTGTTCAATTGTATTACAACTAATGATATAGGCAATTCTATTAGAAATAGCGGGAGGCATTATGGTAACCATTGTTGATCACCTTGTATTATGTTTTTATATTATCTATTATGTCCACCCTTTTGACTTGACCGATTCTGTTCTGTTATGTCACATTTGGTTTTACTCTCTTCCAAAAAAGCAACAAGAACCGTGGGAGCAATGAAACCCAAAATGTGTAATAGTCACTGTACAAAAGAGAGGAAAAGAAAGTGCTCTAAACTATATAACTGCATGTATATTTAAATGTATAAGATAGAAAATGATAGCACAGAGTTTTATTGGATCATTGAACAGAACTGTTTGCAGTATCATTGTTGGAATGTCCACTCTACAAGCTTTAATTTTGTGACTTAAACAATTATTTCTAAGATGGCAATATGTAATCCATTAACTAGTGATTTCCTACTGCGCATTTTTTTATTCTGTAAATCTGTATAACTTGTACCCCTTCACTGTTTTTTTTCTTTCTTTTCTTTTCTCCTTAAATTAAAAAAAAATTTTAAAAAAATGGAGCAAATAAATATCATTCAATAAGAACAGAAAGATAAAACAAAGTTGGACTTCTTACACCTTTATATGAAGATAAGTTCCTGATCAGTCAAGTATTTACATAAACAAAAAGGGATTACAAATGAATTTTTGAAAAACACTGCAGAGCAAAAACATTACCCTCGACACACTAATGACATACCACAAACTGGAAGAAGGAGAAAATATTTTTAAATTATTAAAGACAGACTCAAAGAAAGAGAGATCCAATAACAAGCAAAAAATATGAACAAAGTATATAAACATTTATAAAATTTCAATTGACACAAATGTTAAAAGATGCTAAGTCTACTTACAATAAAAGAAATAAAAATAAAAATTGCAATGAGATACCAGTTACACTATCAGACTTTCAAAAATCAAGATGTGGTAATACACTTTACATGCACTATCAAACAGATTCGTGTGTGTGTGTGTGTGTGTGTGTATGTGTGTGTGTGTGTGTGTGTGTGTGTGTGTGATGGGGGAATCCCTTGCTTCAGCCTCCTGAGTGCGGAGATTATGGGTGTGCACCACCATGCCTGGCAACAGATGACAGAATACATTATTAAAAATAAAGTTCCATGGAAAGCAATTTGGCAATACTAAATCAAAATCTTTCTCATACATTGCTGGTGGAATGAAAATCAGAAAAACCTTGATGGGAAGGAGGAAATTTGCAAAATTGTACTTATCCAAATGAAAAAATGTACATTCTTTGACCTAGTGTTTTCATGCCAAGTATTTATCATACAGATATCCGTGAGCAAAATTAAGTATGCTTGCATATCAACATAATGTTAAAGGTTAAATATCTGAGTATATCCCTCATTCTTACTATGAAACTCTTACTATGATGCTGACATGCATGTGTTGCTAAGATTTCTAGACTATATGAAAAGAAACTGCAATATAAAATGTATAACATGCTAGTAACTGAAGTACATATAGATATATGCATGTTAACTATGGAATATTTTATGAAAAATTCACAAGAAACTGTTGACACTAGTAGCTTCTGAAGGAGTCTGTAATAATCTTTTGCTCCTTTTCAATCATCTAGAATATGTATATTATTAAAAGTACATATTTCTTAAATTAGTGGGTGTCAGGCGTGCCTACAGACTCAGCTACTAGAGAGGCTGAATCAGGTGGATAGCTTGAACCCAGGACTTGGAGGCCGTCTTGGGCACCACAGCGAGACCCTTTCTCTTATTTAAAAAAAGAAGAAAAAAAAAGGAAAAATGTGCTCACGACATCTCCCTAATTGACCAAGGCCACACTCCTGCGTTCATTCAACCGAGGCCTCTTCGGGTGCTTATCGAGTGCCAAAAGCTTCCCTGAAGGCGAAGGAGGAAGGTGCTGGATGGAGTCCGGGTCCCAAGGGACACCAAAGGCGGTAGGACAGGAAGCGCGCGGTGCGGGGCCAACCGTTCCCAACGGTCCGGCTAGATCCGCACTCGCGTCCAGGCCCACACAGTGCGGCCCCGCTCCCGCGGCGCGTTGCTTTCTCCGCCGCCCTATTTCTGCCTACGAAGCCCATTCCACTTTTTCAAAAAGAAAAATAAAATGTGTTCGGCGCCTCGTGCTCTTCCATCACGATTTGGTATACCGATCGAGGTCCCCTCAAAAAAATCGCTAGAGAAACAAGTGGGTGTGCTACTTCGCCCATCGTCCCTGGGCTGTGGAATGAAACCTTCTTGAAAAAATTTCATGCGATTGGTGACACCCATGAGCGACTAGACGCCCTCGCACCAGCTCCCAGCCCGCAGGCGCGCAATTTTCCCTCGGGGATTACCAGGCGGGATCAATCCGTGATAGGCTTAGAGGGGAACGGAGAAAGCTCGGTGACGCCTCTAGTTGGCTGTTTAATTCTCAGCAGGTGCAATCTCAACGCGCAACATCTGCTTTCCCTGGATCTTATTGGCTAACAGGATGGGCTGGCTTTGGAGTTCATCCTGGTCGTTGGACAACAGCGCTGAACAGCTACGTCGCTCACAGCAACTCGAGGAAGGATTGGTTGAATCGGGCAGAGGCTACTGGATAGACTGAGAGCGCCGCGTTGATTGGCGCGGAAGGGCTGCGGGGGCGGCGAGGCGGTGGTTGAAGCGCGGCCAGCTGGCGGAGGGAGGAGGCGGTGGCCCAGCCTGGTTCGAGGTTGAGCGTGCGAAGACAGAAGCTGGAGGAGCGGTACGGGTGGACGCGAGAGTGAGGCAGTTTGGGGGCTGTAAGCAACCTCGGTAACTGGGAGGCAGAAGGCGAGGCGGAGGGAAGGTGGTCCCACGCACCCCGGGGCGAGGAGGGGTGATGGGGCTCGGTAGTAGAACCGAGACCGAGTTGAGCCCGATGGACCTGGTGTGAGAGTTTGCCTTGAGTCCGTTTGCGTTCTTGAGCTGGTCCTGAGACTGAGGAGCACCTAGGGTTATTATTTCTGGTTTTGTTTTGCGGTGCTGGGACTGGAAGCCAGGCTTCCGCTGCACCTGGCCACAGAACTCTCCCGGCGCGGCGCGGGGTTTTCCGCAGTTGTCTCCAGTAAGATGAGACGTAAAAATTACACACTTGGGGTTTTGCTTTCCAGTATTCCTCACTGGTTGATAATTGTGGCTTTGGGCTAATTTGAGTTCATTGGCTCATTCCTTGAGGCATCAGCTGATAACACAAATGTATTTGTAACATCTGCAAAGGAGTTTAGTGAAATTTAGCTCTCAATTCAACCAAGAAGTCACCCAACAGGTTTAACCTTATCTCAGTCATCTTTTGATATACACTGCACCACCGCATCATCTGTACAGTATTTTCTGATGTCTACCAGGTATTCCATCTAAAAACTATATTAGACAGCCCCATGGCTCCTTCCTCTGCCTTATCAAAAATCCATCACTAGCACACTAGCTACCATCTCCATCATCGACACCTGGCTTGGTCTCCAACTGAACCTACTGCTGCTCTTCATACCTTACAGCAGACGTAGCGTTAATCAGGCATTTTACAGCTGTGGCGTGTGTTGTAGGGAATATGTGGGATACTCAACCTAGTGTAGGAAGTCAGGATTGAGGGAATAGAGCCAGAAAAATATCGGAAACCTTCATTGGCCTTAATCCTGATTGTGTCTGAAAGACCATTTGTGCTTTTGGACTTGGTGAAGAGGTTTAATCATGATTGTTCCTCAAAACAGAATTATTTTCTTCCACACCGTAGTGTAGAAAATATTAACCAGCTCTGTGACCTTAAGGAGATCTTTTAGTATCTGTAAATTCAGTTTTCCCACATTGTAACATTAATGGAACAAAATAATCTTAGTGGTCCTTCTTGTTCTAAACTGTTCTAAAACTGCTACTTTTATGCCCTGTGATAGTGAACCTTTTTTCAGTGATAGCAAACACCCTCTGCCCCACGCATGCTGTAGGTTCACCACCACTGCCCACAATCATAAATTATGACCAGAAAATTAAAGGCAGACAGTACTGAAGAGCACAGGGCTAGGTTTGTTTTGGTTTCCCAGACTCTTCACACATTGAGATCCTGCCTGACAAGACATTCCCTGCTGGACAAAAAGCTCCATTAAGGCAACTAGGTCTTGATTGCTGTGTCCCCAGAGCTGAGTTCATGTGGTATACTCAGTTTTTATTTTTCGATTTTTAAGACAGGGTCTCACTATGTAGTACAGACTGACCATGAACTCATTTTGTAGCCCAGGCTGGCCTCGAATTCACTGAGATTCTCCTGCCTCAGCCTCCTGAGTGTTGAGATTACAGGTGTGTGTGCCACCACATCTGGCAATCAGTTTTTATTGGTTTAAATAAATTGGCAACAGATAAATGGGTTGTATTTTAGTGAAATGGTTTTCAACTGTGCCCTAAGAAACCTTTTTAGCTCCTTACCACTGTTGCATTGACCAAGAATTTATATTGCTTTTCTATTGCTATGCGGTTAGTTGCTTTGACTGTTAATGTCTTTTAGACAGTGTCTCAAAGGAAGAATTATTTGTCCTCTCTCCACTGTGCCCAGCCCATAACAAAGAGCAGTGTTTAACTGAGGCACATTACTCATGAAGACAAGAGTTGCATTTCAGAGACCATATTTAAAAAATGAAGTAACCAGGAAATAAATCTCTTCTGGATATCCAGAATGAATTTTTTTAATGTAGAAAAGTATATTCTTAAGTAGTTTCGAAGTTACGTATTCAAAAGGCATTTAAGGGGCTGGGGATTTAGCTCAGCGGCATAAGCGCCTGCCTTGCAAGCAGGCCGTCGTGAGTTCGATCCCTGGTACCGCTAAAAACGAAAAAGACAAAAAAAAAAAAAAAAAAAAAAAAAGGCGTTTAAGAAAAAACCGTTTTGCCAAATGTCTTGTGACCTTGAAGGAGGCACACACGTCTTACTGTGGACCAGATCTCAAGACAGAAGGCAAAACAAATGCTACCACACCTTTAAGTATAAGCCTTAGGGATTAGGTATGAATCGCCTTGAGAAGCCTGGAAAAACCATCCCAACCCCCTGTGGGAAGAGTCACTGATCAGTAAAGAGTGCTCACTTGCTAGGTGACTCCTTTCCCATTTGTCCCTGATTTGATCAATTTTACCTGAACAATTAAATTTAGTGTTTGACCATAATTGTGTCCTCATTCCTGTCTTGCCAGTTCCCAGTTTTTCCCCACTTTAGACCCACCTCACCTCATAGTTTTACTCTTATAAAAATCCCTAGAAAGTACAGAATCTTTGGCAACCCACTTGGGACCTCTTCTGTCTCTCTCTCAGACAGAAGCTTTCTTTCCCTCAAATATTTCTCTTTTTTAAAAAAGGGAAAAAAAACTTTCCTGTGTAGACCTGCACTTGTTTCCTTTTCTCAGGTTGTACAAAAGTGTTTACTTGATGCTCACAAACTTTCACAGAGTTGTGAAGAGTTTTATTTGCAGGCCATTTTTGTTTTGTTTTGAGGGGTGTGGGAATCGTTTGAGTCAGGTTCTCCCTATATAATTGAGGCTGGTCTTGAACTTAATATGATCCTCCTGCCTCTGCCTCTTCTCTTGAGTGCTGGATTACAGGCATACGTGACTGTGCCCAGCTTTACAAATTGATTTTTCTGTCCCAGTTTGTTTTGAGACAGGAGCTTGCTTTGTAGTTCAGGCTAGCTTTGTACTCACTCACATAGTAGTCTAGGCTAGCCTCAATCATGTGGTGGTCCTGCCTCAGCCTCCCAAGTACTGGAACTTCAGGCATGTACCACCATACCCAATGTAGCTGATTTTTACCAAGTGATTTTTGGGATTGTACCTCATAAATGAAAACAGATAATCTACATTCAACTCTACTCTCCTTCCTACAAGGGGGAAGAAAAGGAGCATTCTTCCCTCAGGATGCTCAGCCTCTATAAGTACGCTACTGGGTATACTGAATAGCTTACTGTCCCAAATAAGACACTTGAAAAGAGCCCACCAGTGTTATAAAAAGTATTTTGCTTGTTTGAGGTTTTATTTTTCCTTCAGGCTATGGATCTGGGCAACAGAGTAGATTTGCTGAAAACTATAGGTTAGATAAAAGAGAACTGGTAAACTTCTGGTAGTTCTCTGAAGAGTACTACTCAGTTCTGCTGGTCCATTGCTCCCTCTAGAGCTCTCTGAGGCCAGATGCAGGGGGTGTAGTGCTGGGGCTTGATCCCTAAGCCCATGCATGGGAAGCAGGAAATCCACCAGAGGACAGGTGCTAATTCTGGTCCCCGTGAAAATAGCAGTAAAGGATCCACCTCTAATCTCCGTCCCTGCCTGTATCTGCTCCTGCCTGTACTGGCTCCCCTTCACTGTCCCTTACACTCTTCCAGAAAAAGGACATTTATGACTATAGTTTCTAGAGAGCCTGTTCCAGAGTAGGCTCTGAATTAATGAGTATATTTTTAGCCTTACTGGGGCAAAACTACTTTTTTAAGGTATACAGTTTTGATTATGTATTATTACAGCCAGAGATGTAGCTCAGTGGCATAAGCACCTGCCTGTTTATATATTATTATTTGGGCTAACTTTTAGATAAATGATAGCATAAATTACATTTAATCATTAATCTTATTAAAAGCCACCTTTTAAAATTTTTTTATTGTTACATGTTGGGACTGTGAGCAATTGTTTATTTTTTCATATTTTAGATTCTAATATCTGGAAATAGACACTGTCTTTGGTTTTTGTTTATCATCAGTTTTTTTAAGCAGCATTTGTTTGTTTCAAATTAAATAGATCAAAATAAAAAATAAAAACACCAAAGTACTTCTATTCTGAGAGTTTAGATAAAGAGAAGGCTGGGGAGGGACTTCTACAATCACTTTAAAATCTGGGTGTGGTGCATGCCTGTAATCCCAGCACTCAGAAACTGAGACAGGAGGATTGTTGGGAGCTCAAGACCAACCTGGGCTACAAAGTGACCTCAAGGCCAGTCTGAACTGCATAGTGAGACCCTGTCTCAAAAAGACAAAAAAATCACTTTAACAGATTTCTCATAAGCAAATCATAATCCAGACTCTTGAATGATCAGGTAGGCTCTTCAACCACAAATAGTTCCCCTATAAAAATGGATCATATTTTCTGCCTTACAGGGTTGTTTGAATATTGAATAAAACATATAATGTGGCCAGAATGGCAGATGCTCAACACATTGATGCTTCTATCTTTGTGTTCTTAGTGCCACAGTAACAATTTAGCACACAGAAGTGCTTAATAAACGTGGCCAAATTGCACAAATGGAGCTACCATTTAGTCCAGAGGACACAGCATGACAGATAACTGTTACGGTCTGATGCAGCTGTTACTCACAGAGCAGTGTGCCCTAAGGAGAAGCTGCCCTGAAGTCAGCCAGTGCTGCAAATCCCAGAGACCTCCAAAAAAGGGTAGTATTAAAGGTGGAATCTGAAGAAGAAATACAATTTTGTCAGGGACTAGGAATACAGAAGTGATGTGTCAGAGTAGTCACATTAGCATACCCTGTTCCCTGGAGAAGTGGAATAAGAATATGTGGCTAAAATCAGATTACAGAGAACCTTTTTTGCCATTAAGGAGTTTACACTTCAGCAACAGACAGCATTGAAGATGTGAGAAAGTTTATTCTTTAACAAATTATTACTGACCAAATATTGGAATAGTGTACTATAGGCTAAGCACTGGAGAGGAGGGAAAGTAATTGCTGTCTCTATGGAGTTATGTTCTAATGGGGAAATGAATACTTTGTAGGTTATTACAATAACTTTTAATTGGTGATGTAGGAAACTACTGGAAGCTGTTAGAATATAGTGAATGAACTGTGGCAAATGCAGGGATTTAAGCAATTAATCTAAGATAAAGATAATGTTGTTTTAGAGCAGTATCATAGGAATGAAGAGATTAAAAAGTCAGATTTTTTGGATAATTTGAAGATAGAATGAATACTTTGCTGGCAGACTGGATATACAGTTTTCAAGAAAGAATGACTAAGGTTTTTAGCCTAATGAACTAAGAAATGGTGTTGCTACTTAATGAGTTGGCAAAGACTACAGGGAGTGAGTGGATCAGGAGCTTAGAGTGGCACAGATTAATTTCAAGATGCTTCCTTAACTGAAGGTGATGCCGCACAGGCAGTTGCATACACAAGCCAAATGTTGTTTGAAGACTGGTGTCATCTTGTGGTAGGGTTTTGTGTTCTTGGCATTGATAGAAAAAGTTCTGAAAAGGGTTAGGAAATTTGTAACGCTAATTGGGATTAATGATCAAGTGTGTCAGAAAAATGTGATTCTGTATCAAAAGGGGATCTCTCATATTACACAGGGAGAGGAGCAAAGGATATTTATTCTCTATGACATGTCAGGTAATTAGGACACCTAGTAATGTATGTGTAGGTCCTGTGGTGAATGTTTTTCTACAAACTCATTGGAGCTACAATTTGGCATTAAAGAAAAAACAGTAAAATAATCATGACTCCCCAAACCTCCTCTTCTTAATTAAGCAGTCCTGATGTCTTTGGCTCAGAGTAATACTTGTAACAGTTTTTCATTGTGCTCAGCTGGTTGCTTTACGGCTATGGTGTTGAAGGTTAGTGTTTTTCTTGCTGAAAGATGTGAGGTGATTTAAAGAGCAACAGGTAGATTTTCAGTTATTTATGAAATATTTATATTGGCTTGAAGATAGTTGCTGTAAATCACCATGGGGAAAAATGTGCAAAAATAAAGGGGAGGTAATCTGTTGTGTTGCAGTTAAGCTCAAGAAGCTCTGAAAATATATTATTAATAGCTTAGGTGCTGCCAGGGATTTAGCTCAGCAGCATAAGCACCTGCCTTGCAAGCATGCAGTCGTGAGTTTGATCCCCAGTACCAAAAAAAAAAAAAAAACAGCTTAGACATTAAGGATCAGGAGTTTGCCTTTGAAGCATCCTATTTAAAAATAGATGTTTAAACAGAGAGAGAGACTGAGACCAGCAGTTGAGACTGACAGCTGAGCCAAACAGTGAGGTAAAAACACAGGTGGTTGGGAAACCATGTGAAAAGGGTGTGCTGGAGAGGAGGGCATCACAAGCCATTTGCAAATACTGTGACAAAGCCATCTAAGATGAGCACTGAGAAATGATCTTTGGATTTAGCGATGCAGGCACTGGTACTTTTGATGAGAGCCATCAGAACAGATTAAAGCAGGGAAATTGAGGACAGAAGTGTCGACACTCTCAAGTCTTCATGTAAAAGGAAGTAGTGGTGGGGCTGAGGATTTAGCTCAGCGGCATAAGCGCCTGCCTTACAAGCAGGCAGTCGTGAGTTCAATCCCCGGTACCGATAAACAGGAAAAAGACAAAGAAAAAAAAAAAAGGAAGTAGTGGAAGGAGTAAGTGTAATTGGAGTAAAGTTTCTTTGTTTTTGTTTTGTTGTTGTTGTTTGATACCGGGATTCAAACTCACAACTTTGCCCTTGCCTTGCCAGGCAGGCGCTTATTACCACTGAGCTAAATCCCTGGCTGAGTAAGGTTTCTTAAGGAGAGAACGATGTTTGTCTCCTGATGGAAGGATCAGTAGAAAAGCATTAGCAATGCTGGAGAACTGATGGAGCAAGGCTGTTATGAAAGGCTTCAGCCCTGGGAATAAAAGACTTTCCCCCATGATCACAAGAGAGGGCATTTGCTGACAAGTGGAGACAGATCAGTAGGTGTGTGAAGTCTGGAGATGTCTTGTCCCAAGGCTCTGCCTCCTCAGAGAAATAGAAAGCAAGGACATTATTTGAAAGAACGGAGGGGGCGGCACAAGAGTTTGAAAGAAGGTCTGGAATAACCGGCAGTGTCTGAGTATATGTGGATAAGAAATCACAGTGAGGAAAAGGTCAGGATTCACTTGGCAGCAAAGTGAAGTCACTGTCAGAGATCAGTGCCACAGAGATAGTAAGAAGGCCGTCATGCCAGTCGAAATGAGAGTGATGGCTTCTGAGTCAGCCTGGGTGCTGTGTTGTTGGAGCCATTAAGTCCATAATAAGAAGTGAAACTGCAGGTGTGGATGAAATCATCCATGGAGCAGAATGAATTAGCAGGGGAGAGAAGGCACGGAAAGACAAGCCCCAAACTCAGAAAAATCTGCCAGGGAAATAGGAACAACCAGGAGAAAGAGGACACAGAAGCCAAGAAAGATGGAGGGGTGTGTGTACGTGTGTGTGTGTGTGTGCGTGCATGCACGCACACACGCGTGCTGAGGAATAGAAACTAGAAGTAATAACAGTGAGTGAAGTCCATGCTTCCAGTAACAGTAAGTAGGAAGGCCTTTAGCGGGCCTGGAATGGCACTGTGTGTAGAAACAGCAGCTTCTGGGAAGCTCTAGAGGCATAAGGAAGAAATTAAAATCTAAGTATATATGTTTCTTACAACCTTGATTTGCTTAGTAATTTGATCTTTTGTCTTTTAAAACTGACACATGGCGGTGGGGGATAGAAGAGAAAAGAAAAAAGATAAAATGGAAATAAAGCTTGTGAATAAGGAAGAAAAGAAGGGTTGAAGAGAAGGGAGGGAAATGGAAAAAAAAGAACTAAAGTATATCATGTACAGCTGCAAATTTCCTACGATGAATATGATTATTATGCATACCTAATTTGTCCCAATAAACTTATACAAAATAAGACTGATCAAAATATGGTTTTCCTTAGGGGAAAAAAAAGTGAGGTGTCCTTCTGTTCAGTTTTATGTATCCTTAGGCTGACTTTTCTAAAATATCTACAGTCCTTTTCCACGAAAGCTCTTGAAATGGAAAAATATGCAGCAGTGTTCTTTTCGTTAACAATGTGTTCTCATTCTTCTCTGCCAGCCAGCCAGGTGTTGGCTGAAAGCTGCTTTTTCTTGTTTGATTTTTCAGGATGTAAAAGAGTACAGCAGAAAATGTCCACTGAACGGACCTCTTGGACGAGCCTGTCCACTATTCAGAAAGTCGCTCTGGGCCTTGGGATCCCAGCCAGTGCGACAGTTGCCTATATCCTGTATCGAAGATACAGGGAAAGCAGAGGTAGGTGAACCCCACAGCTGCAACTGCATGAATACTCAGATTTCTGTGTTCCTGCCTGGTAAATTAAGAGGAAAACTTTTTTCTCCTCAGAGTAGGTGTTGTTTGTTGAAATATAACTGGCTTTCTATGAGGAATATGTGACTGAAAATAATTGATTTTCTCTTTTGCATGTTCTTACTGTGAAGCTGGTCTACAAAATGCATTCATAGCTCCATAGATCTGTTCCCTGTAGTGAAATAAATGTGGAAATACTTTTAAATATATACCCTTACATATAGACATATATATATATGTATGTATATATATACATACATATATATATATTCCTTATCTTTGGCTAGTTCTAGGGTAGACGTAGAGAATAGGACCTAGAAAAATAAAGTACAGAGAAGTCAGGAGAAATTTTACACCTAATGGGCACCTCTGACAACTTAAGGCTTTCAGTCTTCTCTGGGAGTTGTAAGGAGAAAAGCAGTTTGGCTGAATCCTGTTTTTCCTATTTCAGCATCTGAAATAGTATCCCTGAGAAAATGCCAACTTGTGGGTGAGGGAAGACAGGGATGCTGGAGCTTGGACTTGGCATCATGCATGCTAGGCTGCAGCCCTATGTCTGGCCTCTTGGGACCTAATTTGCCACTCAGCTACAGCTTGTCCTTGTCATTATGATTGAAACCCACAGTTTGTCCTTGGTTTCGTGTTTCTTTGACAGTCAGGTTTGGGCGGGGATGATAGTAGCCTTGGGTGTACTTAAGTCTGATCTTCTCCGTAGAAGAGCGATTGACATTTGTTGGGGAGGACGACATTGAGATAGAGATGCGAGTTCCCCAGGAGGCCGTAAAGCTTATCATTGGCCGACAAGGAGCCAATATTAAACAGGTAAGATGCCTTCCCTAGACACTGATTCTGTTTATTGACTTTGTTTCTTTCCACAGACCCCATGTCACACTTCACTTCCATACTGTATATATTTCAGAAAGAAAAATGTGGTTGTTCAGTGGTGGCGTGTTTGTCTGGCGTATAGCATCCCTGGGCTGATACCCATTAACACACACATACAGGCATGCACACACAGAAAACCAGAAACTTTTTTTAGCTAACTATACTATTTCCTTTCCAGAGGATGAGCACTCACTAGAAAATGAGTGCTCAATGTGAGTGTTTCATTGGCTAAGTCTCAACTTGTGATAGCTTAAACTACTCTTTTTCAATTATGGATTCAATGAACTCTCGTTAACTGACAGTAAATGTAGAATTGCTGCCTAGTTTTTCTTACCATCTCCTATTATTCAGCCAAAATATCCAGGGAAAAATCATTGTTTATCTAATCCAAATAAAACCAGATGGGGAAAAGGTTGTAGATTCAAAGAGAAATGGTTTTGAATTGACTGCTATTTGGGGTTGCCTTTGTCACTAACCTCTTAAGTAGAAGTAAATGAAGACTGACTATGTATCCTGATTTAGTTGGTGCTTTTGGGTGACTTCGTCTACCTTCAGGGTTTTGCTTAGACTCCCCTCAGCCATGCCCAAATGGGGTCTCTTCCAGAATATGCCTCCATATCTCTTTTTCTCGGCAGCTGCGGAAACAGACAGGTGCTCGGATTGATGTGGACACAGAGGATATAGGAGATGAGAGAGTGCTACTTATCAGTGGTTTTCCTGTTCAGGTGTGCAAGGCCAAAGCAGCAATCCATCAGATCCTGACAGAGAATACCCCAGTGTCTGAGCAGCTCTCAGTGCCCCAGAGATCTGTGGGCAGAATCATAGGTACCACTGGATGGTTTCCTCTGCTGTTTCTTTTATTCTTTGCCTTTGCCTTTTATTTTCATACCTTTCTAAGGGTTTTCCTGGCCTACTCCCAGAAAAAAGTCCAACAGCGAGATGAGTACTTTCCTGTCTTTCACAACTGGTAGTAAAACAGAAGCCAGGGATTTAGCTCAGTGGCATAAGCACCTGCCTGGCAAGTGTGAGGTCATGAGTTTGATCCCCAGTACAAAAAAATGTTGTATAATCTGCAGTGGATATGGTGGCACATGCCTTTAATCATAGCATTGAGGGAGGCTGAGGCAGGAGAACTGTGAGTTTGAGTCCTATATGAACAACTTAGTGAGACTGTGTATCACCAAAAAAAGAAGGGACTGGAGATATAGAGTACCTCAAGTTTGAGCCCCAGTACCAGAAAGGAAAAAAACATTGCATGGTCCTAGTCTTACATATAAGTTCCAAAAGTGTTCTGGTAAATGTATTCAGCTCATAACAGATTTTTTAGGTAAACTAGCAATGTTTGTGCTAACACAGATCATTTGAGACAGTGTTCTAGAGAGCATTTGTTATGCTTTCTAAATCAGGATCATTCTTTAGTGCTGCTGTTAGAGGCAGAGAAGTGTCCTATCCTCCATTTGGGGTTTGGATGCACTGTGTATACTGTGTAGTATGTCTTCTTAGGAGCTGGGAATGTAAACTGTCATTCCCGTATTTTGGCTGCTCAGCAAGACAACAGTTTATATTCCTAGCTCCTAAAAGAGAGAATGTATAGTTTAAAATGGATAAACTAGGGTCCTGTATCCTTCAGTATTTCTACTCATCATATATTCTGATCAGTTTTTAAGTGAAAACTTACTCCCTTCTGGTAGAGACAAAATATTGATTTCTCTAAGAGTTGAGGTTGGTAAGGACAGGTTTTTATGTACTGTTCAATGTAGGGAGAGGCGGCGAGACAATTCGTTCTATCTGTAAGGCCTCTGGAGCCAAAATTACCTGTGACAAAGAATCAGAGGGAACTTTACTACTATCAAGACTTGTCAAAATCTCAGGAACACAGAAGGAAGTGGCAGCAGCCAAGGTAAGTGACTTACAGACCTGACTCATGCCTAAGAATGAGGAAAACCCTATATGCTGTTCGGGGTCAGTATAGATGGCTGTGTGGATACTGTCCCTTCTCTTATTTTTCACAGCATTTGATCCTGGAAAAAGTGTCAGAAGATGAAGAACTTCGAAAGAGAATCGCGCATTCTGCAGAAGCCAGGGTCCCACGCAAGCAGCCGATCAGCGTGAGAAGAGAAGAAAGAACCGAGTCTGGTGGCGCTGGGGAGCCTGCTGTGTGGAAAAACGGCAGCTCTGACAGCAAGCAGGCTGCTCCTCTAGCAGTGCCTCGCCGCAAGGGAGGTGGTGACCTTGCCGTTGGCGGACCAAGAGAAGGTTCCTGGGAAGAACCGAATAATAGCTTTCAGAAGACTGAAGTCCAGACCAGTCCGGAGAAGTCCATTTTTGAAAGTAAGTAGCAAAGAGGGAATGTATTAGCCAAGTGAAACATTGGAGTGTTGGTTTAACTGACCAATAGCAATAAAAAATTCTACTTATATATATGACTGTCCATGTAAGTCTATCATTATAGATAATAACTTCCTGGTAAATTTTACTTAGATTAATACTAAAGATGAATAATATTTTTATGACTATAAGCCAGATAAGGGCAAAAGAAAATAAGACAGAAACATACTACACAGGAAGCTAGTCTGTAATACATCAAGTAATTGAATTTATGTTTCATTCCTTCTTAGATGTTTGTTAAAGTCTCAGTCAGGTTTTTTTTTCATTTGCCTCATTACTGTTTTTTTAAAGTCACTATTTGAGTAGAATGGAAAGGCCTTGAGCTTTCTCCCATGTGCAGGGGTGCTGGCATGGGCAGGGGAGACCAGGGGCCCAAGCAGCACCAGGGCCTTCCCGGGATCACATGATGAGTCTGTGATAGAATGGAAGTGGATGAGCAGAATTGCTGTCCATGTGCCTTTTAGTGGCCATGCTGCAGCTGGCAACTGGAGAATTTACCTTCATTATAATTGGTGAGTGGTTTGAATACAATAGAACATGATAAAAGACTATAGAATATTACAGTACTTTCTACTTAGATAGAAAGACACAGAAAATAACTTAGTGCCTTTCTTCAAGATCTCCTCATAAGAATTCATCCAGTTGTGCTCCAGCCAGTTTTAAAATGGTTATGGTTATAGCCACTCGGTATTTGTAACTGTCAGTCTCCCATGCAAGCTCCCCATTGGTACCAACTGTGGTTCTGATATGACCACCATCTTTATCCCTGTGTTCAGTACCCAGTCCCGACTTCAGTTTCCATGCCGATGAGTACCTAGAAGTGTACGTGTCTGCATCTGAACACCCTAACCACTTCTGGATTCAAATCATTGGCTCCCGCAGCCTACAGTTGGATAAACTTGTCAGTGAGATGACCCAGCACTATGAGAGTAGTCCGGTGAGTTGTCATGGGGACAGGGCTGGGGTTGGATAGAAAAGAACATAGCTGCTTCATTGTAATTTGTTCTCTTTCTGTAAGAAAGCTATTTGTTCGTTCTTCCTTCTGATATTCCCCGTGTATCTGTTTATTATCTATCACTTCTAATTCTAGCCTGCCTGATTCCTCCTCCCCATGTATAGCCTGAAGATTTGACTGTGCACGTAGGAGACATTGTAGCAGCACCCTTATCTACAAATGGTTCGTGGTATCGAGCTCGGGTCCTTGGCACCTTGGAGAATGGGAACTTGGACCTCTATTTTGTTGACTTTGGAGATAATGGAGATTGCCCACTGAAGAACCTCAGGGCTCTCAGGTCAGTGCAGAGGCCAGCATGGAGTCAGCTGAGATCCCCGCTGGTCACAGAGTGGTGAGCTGTTAACTCATCCCCAGAGGGATTTGGGGCAGGGGGTAGGTTGCAGAGAACTTGCTCACAGAGCACAGGTGATTTTCTTATACTGGCTTGGCTGGTTCTGTCTAAAAGCAAGGAATCCAAGGAGACCCTCATGGCCCTAAGACTCTAACTGCAATTTCTTTCACTTTAGGAGTGACTTCCTAAGCCTTCCATTTCAAGCAATAGAATGTAGTCTGGCACGGATCGCTCCCTCAGGTAAAGCAGTCATCCTACCCACTGACTCTGCCTTCAAATAGAATTTCCATATGGCCCACAGAAGGAACTAGCACATTCTCAGGCTTTTTGAGTTCTAGAGAGTCAGGTGCCTTCTAACAGCACTAGAAAGCATCAGGTACGTACACTTGCCCCAGAGTCAGAACCAAACCCAGAAGAGAATAACATAAGTGCCCTCCGACATAGATGGGGTTGGTCACCCTAATAGCACTGACCCCTTCTGAGGTGTCCACCCACACTGCAATCTTCGGCCAGGTGAGCAGTGGGAAGAGGAAGCTTTGGATGAGTTTGACAGACTTACCTACTGTGCTGACTGGAAGCCGCTGGTAGCCAAGATCTCGAGCTATGTCCAGACTGGAGTCTCAACTTGGCCAAAGATTTACCTATATGATACAAGCAATGGGAAGGTAAGGTGGGGCTTGCTCAGGCTCGCTGGATCTTCTGTATTTTCATAACACTGCTTACACTTTCTTTCCGAGAAAGATAGTCTCCTGCTTTGGAAGATCCTGCTCACCATTCCGTCAAAGGAATGTCTTTAAAGTCCCGGCTCTTCTGTCCCATTTCCTCAGATTCTGCCTTCTTTACATAGAACATCATTATTCCCGTTTTATTCTTCTCAGAAACTGGATATTGGGTTAGAATTAGTTCGAAAAGGCTATGCCATTGAGCTTCCTGAAGACATGGAAGAAAATGGAACTGTCCCAGACATGTTGAAGGACATGGTAAGCCATTGTAGCCACTTATGGTGCTTCTCAGAAATGTAATGCATGGAGACACAGGGAGGGCTTCTGGTCAGGACATTTGTTAAGTCCCTGAGACTGGGACCCATTTTCTCTTGTTCTCGTGTCCTCAGGCCACAGAAACAGATGCTTCTCCTGCTAGCATGCTCACAGAGCCCAAAAAGAGCCCTGGAGAGATGGCTCATACCCTGTCCTGCCTCAGTTTGTCAGGTACAGACTTCCCTGCCTACAGCATCTTTGGAGTTAGCTCTTCTCAGTCAGGGTCTCCAGACTAGGGGATTAGATAAAGCTCAGTTCTTAGGTCAGTAGGCATCAAGAGTCCTTTTTTTTTGTTTGTTTGTTTTTCCTGGGTTCCACTGCCAGTACCTGCTAGAAGGCGGCAGTATCTAACTTTCTCCTTACTTCTGCTCAATAGAAGCTGCCTCGATGTCTGGTGATGATAACCTTGAAGACGACTACTTACTCTGAAGTCTGGGCTTCAGCTGGCTCAGCCATCTGCTTCCCTGTGAGTGGAGATAGTTGTCTGTAGCAGCAGCAGGAAAGTAATGAGGGTAACCACAGGGACCTTGCTTTAATTCTTTCTTCCCTGTGTCCTGTCTTCATAAATTTCTCTGCAGCTGCTTTCCTACAGCTTAACTTGCTTTCAGGTTGAGCCTTCTCAAGTTTTTTGTCTCTGTTTGTCTCTTTGGCAGGTTTTGGCACAGGATTTGTTTCCTGGAAAGAAGTTGATAGAGAGATACATGCAGTCCTTCTTTTAACACACAGTCTGACTTGCTGTGGACCAAATCCATTCTCACCTTCTGTTGGACTACCAGAGAGAGTGGGCCAAAGGAATACGAATACCTCCCCCTCCCACATCACTCCCATCCCTCCTGTGTCTTCCAGTGTGGGATGCTGCTGTTACTTCCAGGCTCTTCGACCTCAAGCCTGGTCCCTTCTTCCAGTCATGTTGCAGATTGCTGCTCAGCCTTGTCCTTTTTGAGGCTGTGAAATAGCCAGGGGTTTGGTCACTGGGAGAAATGATGATTCTGCAGACGTGTGTCTCACCTTGTCAGGTGACTCTTGTTAAGGGAAGTTTTAAAGTACTGGACTCAAAGGCTGAAGTTGAGTCAGAAGACAAAGGCAAAAATCAACATAAAATATATTTAAAAGGCCTTGGGAGGTGGGAAGAGAATGCCACCTTCCATCTTCAGTTGCTGATACGATATTAGGAGCAGGTTTTTGAAACAGTGCTCCAGCTATTTTTTGTGAACTTTAGTTAAAAATTAAAGAGTGATGGCTCAGGAAATACTGTAAATTGCTAGTATAGCTTTATATGTGTACAAATATATACCAAAGAGAACATACACAATTCAGTTTAAATCATTTGAGGGATTCTTTGCTAAATAAAGTTCTCAGAATTAAGACATGTTCATTGAATCACATCGGTGGTTAAGCACCTTTAACTGTGGGTAGAGTATCTTTTGAGCCTAAACCTGGTGAGACCTGCAGCCTCGTGTAAAGTACTCATCTGTACACAAGGCCCTCTCCTTGCACTTTCATGTTCTTTCCCTAAAGTCATTTCCAAGTCAACCAAGAACCATTTCAGGTTTAGGCTATGTAAATAAAACCTCACTTGCATTGTTTGATCTTGGGCTTGGGGAGGACTCCTATCTGGATTAGCATTCTAGAAAACTGGAATCTAGCAGTGGGTCTCCGCTGTAAACTTACCGTAAGGCTTTGTGGAGTGTTTCCTTATAGCATCTTTCCATCTCTGATAGTATTATGAGGCTCCAGTGAGAACCAAGAAAGTGATACAATAAAGGCAAGTGAACTTTTAAAGATAAACTGGTAAATTTTAAATGGCATGTCAGGGTGCCTTATATCAAACCTTTTCCCACATCTAGGAATAGTGAGGTGTGCCTGCGTACTACATGGCAATCGTGTTTTCCCACCACTGGCTTGGAAATTTTTTTCTCAAAGTATCAGATAAGTTATCTTAAAGGGTCTCGACGAGGAGAGCAGCACTGAGGAGCTCTTACAGTTTCAGAAGCATCCAGTGTCCCAGGTGCCAGTGCGATGGCTCCCTGAGGCGCACACAGCCCTGGAATCAGAGCTGCCATTGATAGGGTTGCAAGTCCCTCACAGCCTTATTCTCAAGGATACCAGTCCCCTGATAAAAAAATTTCATAAGACCTCCTCCTGTGGAACGTTAGTGTCTCTTCCCTGCAGTTATGCATTATTTTTGTCTCTTTTGGGACAGGTTTCATTATGCAGTTCAGTGGGTTCAGATTCAACTTCTAGCCCATGCTGGCCTTCGACTCGAAGTAATCTTGCTGCTTCAAGCTCCTGAGTGCTGTGGTTACAGGCATGCACCACCACACCTGGCCCCCAAAAATATTTTTAAAAGCAAATATTTAAATCAGTTATCAAATCACAGTTTATTCAAATGAATATAGAAGGGCACAAATATGCCATGGGCAAAATGCCATAAAAATAAATTCTTTTAATGTGACCTTTACATCTTGTGATTTAGGTTCTACCCTTATGGCTCCTTGTCACTCCAGTATAACCCCAGCACTTACACCTTGGAATTCCTCTTCTATGCTGCTACTTATGTTTTCTCTTGAGATCCTTACCTTGAGCCAAAGCCAAGGGATCCTAGTATGAAATGTGATCAAAATACATAATGTTTTAAGAACCTTAACAGTTGATTACAGTAAAAGACATTGCCATTAATCAGAATAGTTTAAAACATGCTTCACCCATCAGTCTTGTCACTTTTTTTATTTTAAAGAGAATAAAACCAAGCAAAACAAAACAGAACAAAGCCAATCAAACCAGTGTAAGTGACACAGGACTTCAAAACAATAGGAAATCAATAATGCTTACCATAATGTCCTGCTGTCTTCAAAATAGCTGCAGATACCTTCAGACATAGTAAAAGAACAGAATAGAACCAATAAAAACAAAAAAATGCAATAAAGGACTTCAAGGTAATAGTAAATTGAAAATGGCTACTATAATATATATTGTTACCTTTGAAAATAGCTGCCCATGTCATCAGATGCAATTAAATGACAAAACCCAACAGAATAATGAAAATGATTCTGGACTTCAACACAAGACAATATGGACTCGGCAACAGCCATCACCCAATAGATCCCACCATAGATGCTACACTGTATTGCCATCCTCTGAATAGATAAGGCCACTGACTTTAGGCCTGCAAAGCCAGTGAAACACTGAACACTACAAGCATTAAATTGTGTACTACCTCAATAGCCATCATCACAGCCTGTGTTTCTCCAGACCAGCCAGTCCCTTACAGCAAGCAATGGGGCAGGGGGTGGCTCTTGTTTGCCATTCCACACTCTGGAAGAGGCTGACATCTGGCTCTCCCCGCAGTGACCCATGCATGGCACTGACTCGAAAGGATGGCTTGCGTCCTGGTGACTTTTTGTTTTCTCCCCCTGCGGTGCTCGAATGGCGCTGACTCATCTTGCCACTTCCTTAAGCAGCTCTGGGAGCTCTGATGGATCTTTAGTAGCCTGTCATGGCTGCCTCTCTACCTCATTCACAACATTTAGTTTTCATAGTCATTTTGACCTTGGGGAAAAGCCAGAAATTGCACAGTGCCGGGTCCAGAAAATGAGGTGGGTGAAGAATTTGTGACATATGATCCTGAAGTACAGTGAACATTTAATTCCAGTAAAAAATCATTGCCAATATCCCAATCAAAATATCATTAGCCTACATCAGAAATCTAGAGAAATCATTCCTAAAATTCATCTGGAACCAGAAAAGACCTAGAATAGCAAAGACAATTCTGAGCAACAACGACAAGGCAGGAGGCATCACAATCCCTGACTTGAAGTTATACTACAAAGCTACTGTAATAAAATCAGCATGTTGCTGGAATAAAAATGGATCTGAAGATCAATGGAATAGATTAGAAGACACAACTTACAACTACAAACACACTCAGCCACCTTATCTTTGATAAAGGGGCCAAACGTTCACTGGAAGAAAGATAGCCTCTTTAATAAATGGTGCTGGGGAAACTGGTTCTCAATATGCCAAAAACTAAAACTAGACCCATGCCTATCACCATGTGCTAAACTAAAGTCAAAATGAATCAAAGATTGTTGTAGCTTGGCATAACTGATGCCATCTTGAACCCTGCATTTAACTAATGCTCTGTATTTGACCCAGGAAAATGGAAAATTACTCAAAGTATAAGTCCCGTGAGAAAAATTAACCTGCTCAACAAAAGCAGCAGAATACAGATGTCAACCAAAAGTTAATGTAAGTTTCTAGCTGTTTCCAACAAGACGCCTTTTCAGATTCTCTCTTTTAAAAGCTCTGTAACTTTCCAGTTTGGTGCCATTTGTTTGGACTCTGAAACGGGGGACTCTATATATGAGTAGTCGAGCTCAGTGAATTAAATTCCAAATTTATCAATTTGGCTGCTTGTATTCCTATATTGTTGTTCATGAACCCACCTCATTTGAGGGGTCGCCCTGGATTATAGGATCCAAGCCTCTCTTTGAGGCAATTGTTCCTCAGGGGGACTGCCAAGTGGTGTTCCTCACCCCTGAGGAATCTCTTTGTTTCAAAGAGAAACCAAAACCCCTGGATGCTAATTCAGAGCAAGCAGTCCAGATCCTCACCAGTAAGATTGTTTTAGTTTTTGTTGGGGTGCCCCTTGGGGGTCTTTGGAGATGTTGGACACAACATTAAAGTTTCCAAGACCATTCTCAGACCAAGATGTTGGCTGAGACTTGTTGGCCATAAGGTCAAACTAGTTCTCGGAGTCAGTCTGTTAGTCTCTGTTTTTGTTTTGTTAATCTTGTCACCAGTTTAATGTTCACTATTCAGATATTATCCATGTGATTGGGTCAGTCTGCTTTTGCTTTTTGTTGCCCCTTAACCATTTTCAGGGTTTCACTGGAGAGCCTCTTCCTATGGTGAACCTGTTTACTCAGAGAAACTCCAGATTTTTTTGTAAATTTAAATGGCCCACTTTCAGAGTCTCTTGCCCTCCAGGAGGGACTTTTAACCTCTCTTTGTGTTAGCAGGACTACCTCAACTCTCTGAAAGACAACAGAGCTGCTGCTGCTGCTGCAGGCGCCCCACCCAGCAGGTCCCCCAGTGAAAGGGGGTACTCCTGCAGGCCCTGCACCCACCATGTGCCCCTGCACCCAGAAACCAGAGACACAGATTTCTCCAGGCTCCCACTTCAGAGAATAAGTGCCCCTTCCTCCTCCCTGCTTGCTGAGTAATCAGACTGAGCACCACACCTTAACTGTTTCCTGTCCAGCGACTCCCGGTGCAGCAGCAGCAGCACAAGCAACCACATAGCAGCGACCCAAGAGAAGCCAGAACCAAAGCCCAGCTGTGTGGCAGGGGCAGTGGTGGTATCCAGCTCTCCAGGGCCGAGAACACAGGCAACAGTGTGGCTTCCCTGATGGACACAGCCCAGTCAGCTGTAGCACCCCTTTTCTGGGCTTCTGCCCCAGGCCCCTCACTCACCTTGTCCAAGGTAAGGAGGCTCTCCTATGGTTTCGCCAGACTCCTTTGGTGTTTTAAAAGCAGCTTCTTGGAAGCCAACTAATCTAGCTAAACAGAGGTAAGTTAAGGGCCTGCCTAGGCTCCATCTGCATTCTTGGAGCTCCTCTACGCCTATTGATCCAGAGGCACCTGAGAATAGATGTGCCCTAAATGTCACATTTGTCTCCCAGTCGACCCCAAATATTAGGAAAAAAAGCTTCAAAGGCTAGAAAGATTCAAAGGTTAGGCACTCTCAGAATTAATGGAGATAGCCCAAAAGGTCTTCAACAACCAAGATGATCCACGGGACTTAAAACCTGGACTGAGTTAGAGAAACAAGCTTTCAATGATTTAAAACAGGCTCTCATAAATGCTCCAGCCCTCACTCTCCCTGACTTAGCCAAACCTTTCCAATTGCATGTAGTGGAGTGTCATAGGGTCACCTAGGAACCTGGAAGAGGCCTGTCACCTATCTTTCCTGGCAATTAGACCTCACAGCTGCAGAGTAACCAAACTTGCCTACAGACAACTGCAGCCACCACAACCAAGGAAGCCTCTAAGGTGACTTCTGGCCAGAGACTCCAGATAATGGCCCCACATGTTGTGAAGACACTGTTGCAGTTGCCTCCTGATAGGTGGCTTTCCAGCACTCTCATTGTCCAGTGCCAAGCCCTTCTGCCAGATACTGACTGCATAGAGCTCCTGTCTACCTCTGCCCTCAATCCAGCAATTCTCCTGCCTGATGACGAACCCTTAATGCTGATACACAATTGTACAGACATTATTGACTTGGTTTCAAGCCTGTGAGCTGACCTAACTGATGTCCTGCTTGCTCAGCCTGAAGCCATCCTTTTCAAAGATGACAGCAGTTA